TTTTCTATGTTATGTTAAATCGATATATTAGCTGAGATATGCAATGGGTTCATATAAAGGTGGCTTGTTATCAGACTGTTCTTAGAATTCATCTTTAAAGTAATAATTTATTGCCTTATTAATGTTACGTTAAATATTTGCAGATATTTTTAATATCTGTTTTGGACATTTTTTGCCTAAGTTATTTTCGCATAGAATCCATCCACAAAGTAAATTTTAGATAAATAAATTCATTAATAAAATTATATAGTATAGAATAAATATTCTATCTAATCTTTGAAGAATTTGCTTTATTATATGTGAGCAGATTGTTCAAGACATAGGAAATCACGGGTTTTATTGCCAAAAACAAAAAGTACAAAAAATTTAGAGTTGTGTTCTAATTATATAAATAAATTATATTGTTAGATTAGACGGATTTGTAATACATATGTATGTATATAAATAAAATACTTATTGTTCTTAAGAGTACTCAATTCAAGAAAATGGCATAATCAGGCTCTGCTTAAATACCCTTCATACTAACTTAATAATTATTTTCTATGAAGAGTCTTACAGATTATGTTCTTTCATTTAAATAAATACATAGGTTCGTTAATATTGTTGACAACGATATTCGATTTAATTTCAGCTATTCAGCTTTCACTAAATTTGTAACGTATGTTTATATATATATTCGAAATATATTATCCTACAAAAACAGGATAATATGGGAATATATTGCTTTGCAGTAATAACTCGATTTAAACCGATAAATTCTATTTTATTAACAATATTCAAAAACACATGGCTTTAACATGTTCAACTGAAAAGAATTAGCTGTGCCAAAATTCTTCATTATCTCCAACCGCTATTCAGAAATGAAAATCTCAATGCTAAGAACAGGAAACTGATATATAACCAAATAATTCGTCCGTCACTTCTATATGGTTGTGTAGCGTTTAGCAAAGCTTCAAACACTACTATTCACCAGCTAGAAATTGCACAAAGCCAGGCTCTGAGAAGACTTTTCAAAGTTCCATGGTACATTAAAACGAATGACATCCTCAGGGACATCAAGATTGATCCCACCAAAAAATACATAAAGGAAAGAGTCCTGAAATTATTATTTGTGAAATCTGACAGACTTACCAACACCACGTTATCAAATCTCAGAATGGTTACAGGCTCTTCGGGGAGGTATGCAGATCTGAAGTCAATTATTGCTTAGTCTGATGAAGTGATAAACAATAATCTAGTCAAGGTGTAGAGAGGGGTTTTGAAGAAATCTCGAGTTAAAAAGAGTATAAGTGCTTAAGTGCACTAGCTCAAAACAGTTTCAACATAATATAATATAATATAATATAATATAATATAATATAATATAATATAATATAATATAATATAATATAATAATATATTATAAAAAATATAATATAATATATAATATATAATATATATAATATAATATATAATATTATAATATATATAATATAATATATATAATATAATAATATATAATAAAATATATAATATTATAATATAATATATATAATATAATATATAATATATAATATATATATAATATAATATATAATATATAATATATATAATATAATATATAATATATAATATATATAATAATATATAATATAATAATATAATATATATAATAATATAATATATAATATAATATAATATAATATAATATAATATAATATAATATAATATAATAATATAAATAATATAACATTACTAATACAATTTTGTATATTGTGGCTATAGTTAAATTCGATCTGATCTACAAAGTTTTTATTAGCGCTACATAATAAAAATTATAGTACTCAACATCAAAATTTAGTTAAAATTTTTTTAAAAATGTGTTTTGTTTATAAAAACATATATTAGAACTATCAGTTTCCACGCAAATTATATCAATTCTAAACCAATTGGGATGAATTTGAACTTGCCATTATCCACATTTGTTACACTAAATGTCAGCTAAACATAGCTGGGTAGCTGGATGGAATCAAGCAGACGACATCAAAGCCCTTAATCATGCATATTGCAGAAGCACGGTATGTGTAGAAGTATTGATCCACACTGGGTTCTTATTCTTAAGATTAAGAATGATGCGGTAATAAAGAAAGCTACGAGTATCAAAACTTCATCATATTTTTTAAATAAAATTTCTTAAAATTCTCCCAAAAATTAATTTTTTCACTAATTTCTTATCACAAAGCTGCACATATGTTACACACTTTCAAGAGATTATGACCTATAATTTATTTGTTGTTACGTGACGCTACGTTCAACTAATTAAAAACTCTTTATTTATTTAATGAACAATTTAAATAAATAAATAAAAATCCGAAAATACCTAATTACTTTATACATTTTTATGACTCTACGGTTTTCTTTGAATTGTTAGTTTTTAGATTTAAAATAATTCAATTTGTTTACAGGGTGTAGATAAATAAGTTAACGTATGTAAATTAACTTATATACTTAAATTACAATATAATTTAACCTAAAAAATAAATATAATAGTATTGTATACTAAATTTTGTATATCACGATCATAAATCAAATCTACTATTGCTTATATCAGTAATTAAATAAACTTTATCAGCTTAGAATGCGTGATAATGCAAAATGCAACATGCAGATACTTAGATTGACTATCTCACCTTCGAAAAATGTTAATTATAAATTAAGTTAAGATTAAAAAAAGAGTATATTATTGACTAGTTGATAAGTAAATAAGTAATTTAATATTTCTATCAAGATATGCAATCTATAAAATTCACTTTGGCAAGAGATACATAGCCATTTAAACTAAGCTACAGTTCTATAAAAAATAGTAGAGACAAGACCATAGTATAGCAAATTAACCCATAGGAGGTGAATTTATGGAGTGTCTTCGATAACGAAAATACTCTACAAAACTAACAAAAATTCAAGAAGAGAGACAGTTAAAAAATTCGAATAAAATGGAAGGCCAAAGAGAAAGATTAACAAACAAAAATAAGAATCTCCTTAACTTAAGAAGAGAACACATAAAAAATAATACATTTGTGCGGAAACCATTCCATAGTTGTAAAAGCTTACATCAGTTAAAAAGAATACTATTTATTGATAAATCAATCATTTAGGTAATGTTCGTCTTACCCATCTTAGAATTAGATCAATACAAGAGATATAATGAAAATTGTATTATGACAACAATATTAATTTTACGGGGATGTTATTATATATGTATTCTTTTATCTAATTTTAATGTTATCTTGATCTAGTCAATGGTTCGCAATAAAGATGTTTTAAAAAAAACAATACCTATTTATGTAGTATATATCATTTCATTCTTACATTTCAATTTTAAACGACAAACATGTTCTTTGTAGAATTAAGACTTTAAAGGAGCAGTTATTATTGTAGTCGCACCTCGAACCCTATCCATCTTTGTAAAGGCCATCAAACGGAAAGTAAAAGTACCAGAAATTAAGAAATAAAAAGTTCGAAAATGAAGCGAAGTAATAATTTTTTAGAGAACATTCTTTTAAAAATGTTGGTTTTCTGATTTGGTTTTAAGATATAACAAAAATGTGAATCTCAGAAGAATTCGATTGTGTGTGTGTGAAATAAAAATCATTGTCATTAAATAATAGACACAATTTAATTTTTCATGGGTTGTTCTGTTTCATGGGTTATATGGTATTTTAGAAAGTGGATAATATGTGAATTCTATCCATAATTTGAATGCGTTTACTTTGTTTAAGTACCTGTTTAAGTTTAAATGCATTGTAAGACTGGAAAATATTTTTGGTTTCATTTGAACAAAATCTTGTAGAACAAAAAATTCTAGCTACAGAACAATATCTGTGGAGGCGATAGAATAAATATCTCAACGGAGGAAAAAATTAAAAAATTATATATGTACACAGAAAAATAACTACAAATGTATACTTATAGAGAGAGATTTAAAAAAAGGACTCTGGACTGAAATGAGATCGTTGATTATGATCTTAATGTGTATTAAGAGATAACTGAGTATCTGTTAATACACATATTGAGATGAACAGATGCATTATAACTTTAAATAGTTTTTCAGAAATTATTAAGCATCCAGCTACAATAAACTTTTATTAATTACAAATATTTCATGAAGTCGTATGTATCGTAAAAATGTAAAAGCAGAATGAAATTTTTTAGAAATTCAATAAAATCTTATCTCGTGTTTCCACTCGAGAAATATCACCTCACTTGTGCGTCTGGCTGTTGCCAAAAAACTCACTTATGTAACCAATCGTTGTTTGTCAAGTGCGCAATTTTACATTTTTGTGAAGCCCGACAGATATCACAGTGGTAGAGGCTTATCATATTGATATTTAATAACTTATAAACACGGAATTACTAATATATTAAAATTTTAAATAAACATTGGATTTGAGCCATTATCATTTTTAATTTCATTAATTACATTTTGTTGATATCATAATAATCAATTCGATTTTATCAAGACCTTTGAGTCTTTCAAAGGTTTAAAATTAAAACTATAGTTAAATTATAATATACGCAGTAGAAATATATTATTTTAAAACATATATGAGGAGAGTTCACTAAACAAGTAAAACTAGAAAATTGAATTAAAAAATTGTGAGAAGTCTTGATTTAGTATAAAACTATTGTAAATTGAACATAATTCATACAAATTGTTTATTAACTTTAAAAAATATATGTAGTTGATGTAACGCTTCTGGCTGCCAGAAAACCTTGACGTCACGAACAAAAAAAAAAAAAAAAAAAAGACATACATAACCGATAGGATAGGATGAATGGAAAGGCTAAAGAAATATGTAGGAAAAAAAGGTAAGTGGGGAAAAGGGAGTTGAGGTAGTTGATTGAAAGTACCTTAGATCAGGACGACAACAAATCTTGACTCCATGCGGCAACGACTTAGGTCAATAGGACTCAAAAATATGCGCTCCCTCGTTCAGAATTAATACCAAACTTTTCAATATTCCTTTTACTTTAATTTATTAATATTTATGTATATATATATTTTTTTTTACAATAAAAATAATTTATAATATAAGAAAAGAAATAATAATCTTCAACTGTTTACCTAAACTAAAATTAACAAAAACATACTTTTTAGTGGATATGAGGGAGTAAATATTAGCTTATGCTGGAGTTATAGAGAATAGACGATCATTATTTTAACAGATAATGTATTTATAATGTATTAGAACTATGCATCTAATAGCTATAACTCTACATAAATTATAGACTCCTATACATATAACCGAATAATTCGTTTAACTTATACATTTTGTAACGATAATTTTGTTTATAACTACAGCTTTGATTTATGTTTCTAATATTTAATAATTTGAATTTCATTAAAACATTTTTTAAAAATTTTATATTTAGATTGATTTACTTTTGCATTTTTCGGAGTTATGATGTATTACAATAAAATTGAAAAAATTTATAGTTATTACTATGGCTGTTTTATTAAATATATTATTGCTTTTTTTTTATTAAACTGTTTCATGTTCCTTTAGAAATGTAATTTTTTTTGCAATCAATTAACACTGTTCGAAATTCGTAGCTTAAAATGGATTTGTTCCAATGACGTAGAAAGGAATTTTTTAACTAAATGGTATATATTTTGTTTAAGTGATTTCTTCTTCATTAGTAGTTATTTTATTGATTGCTGTTAATCAGATATTATCTACTGAGTCAGCGTCATCTTCTGAACTTATCTCATCACCAAATTCAATATCTTCATCAAAGCCATCTTCAACGAACGTGACTGTGTCGTTAATACGCACTGATTCTGGGAACTCGCCGTATGTTTTCAAATTCCTGGCTTCATCAGGTGTGTACTTTAGGATGACGTCAGCTTTTGAGTCTTGATAGTCACGTAAACCAACTAAAATTATGTCACCTTGATTTATCCAAACCTGTACATAGTAAATATTCCTTTGTTAAAAATTTATTGTAATAAATTAATTATATAGCAGGGATGTATGTTATTTGGAGTAAGAAACGGAAGGATCATTTAGAATACAACAATTTGTATTAGTAAGAAATATTGGCATATTCCTTGTTCTCCAAAAAAATATGTATACAGCATTTTCTTTAAATTGTTGATATAGTTTCAGGTAGTGAAAACTACTCCGAAGTGATCTTGATTCTTTGATGCTATTTATGTATACTTAATTGCTGCTGCAAATATTTTTATATAAAAATATTGCTACTTAAAAGCAAATAGTTTAGCGCTTTCAGGCTTCATAAGGTGAAAATAATATTCGTTAGGTACTAAAAAAACATTCATTATATTGATTTTACTCAATATAGCAATTAACATAATTTGCAAAATATTTGGTAGTTTTACTTATCATCATTTACTGTTTAATTAATTCATATTTATTTTTAAATATTATGTACACATACTATGCTTTCAAGCAATAATGTCGTACGTTGTATATAATGAATTGCAATATTTCTTTGTTACAAACATGTACACAACATGCAGGAAAGTAAGTTAATTAAAAGTATTGTTGTTCATATAATTTAGTAAAATTTGTTATAAAATGAAGCAGTTACTTTTATCATTCATATTTCATTTAGAAAGGTATAAAAAAAATAATAATGTAATTGTCAAATCTTCTCAAAGCATTCACATGTGAATTAGTTTACATTACGCACGAACATACACACCCACATACCCAAGTATATTAACTCAGGTTAGAGCTCTTGGAATAAAACTTACCTTCTTTCTGAGTTTCCCCCGAATGTGGCAAAGACGTTTGACACCATCAAAGCACATAGCCTCCAAGCGACCATTTCCCAACATCTTTGTGACCTGTGCATACTCCTGTTGATCCTCCTTGAAAATCAACTCACGTTTTTCAAATTCATTTTCATTCTTTCCACGACGACGATTTTTTCCTCCTTTACCTTTATTCTTAGGCATTTTACTTTAATATTTCAGATATTTTATTGTCGTATAGTAATCTGCGCTGCAGACTTAAGCTAATTATTATTTGAATAGATGAGACAATATTAATTTATAAATCCTTAATTATTTATAATTTTTACAGAAAATTTCACTCACAAATTATACTTGAAGCTGTCGTTTCTAGATTCAAGACTGAAAGGAACGACAAACACCACTTATTTCTTTGTATCGTCTACCTGCTGGTAAGAATGAAAAGGCTTGACTATGATGTGAAAAAAATATGGCAGTCAAGTACGAGTATGAGATTTAGTGTTGCCACGGCGTTAAAATAAATTTAATATGTTTATATGTTTATGTTAAGTAAATATATTTTCTTGTGTTAATATATGTCAATATTTTAAAAAAAGCTATACCGAATTATTATATAACGAATTATTTTTTAGCAGAACGAAACTGCTACAAAACCGTTTGGATTTTTAAGTATATATTATTATTGGATGTTTAGTTTGGTTAGTATGATTAATAGTAGAACTTTTTATAATTTTTACTTAGAATATTCGCGCTAATATGTAAATTTTATGTTAATTTGCTAAATTGAAATATCGTGAATGCATATTATGAATTTAGAGTAAGCCTCGCTGCTCAAGTGATTAAAACCACTATATAGGCCGTGTGCGAGTTCGAGTAAATTAAGGTAAAATAAATTGAAATTTTCTAGGTATTTTTAGCACTGCACTTATGTAACTATTTATTTATTTATTGCACGTATTTTTTATTTTTGGTTAAAAATTTTTAAATTTTTACAATGATAACACCTAATTTACCACATATCTAATTTACCATACCCGAAATTTTGGTAAATACCAACATTCGCTGCCATACCGACATAATTTACTATTTCATTCAATTTACCATCAATTTACTCGAACTCGCATATGGCCATAAAAATGTATTTGTGGATGTACTGAAAAAAGCTGATTGGACCATACAAGCAACAATTTTGCATATTAGCATGCCTGACGGTATGTTAAGCCATAGCAATATTAACAATAATTAAAAATATATGATCTTTCTGTCATAGTAATTATTAGATAAAATTGAAGTGAACTTTACTTTTAGCAAATAAATATGTAATAACATTAGTTATAACAAATTGAGGTAGAATAAAGCAACATAAACAAATATTTACAAGTTTTGTTTAAATAAAAAAGACTTTGTATTTAATGCCGTTCATTAAAAAAAAACAAGAAATATATATAAAATTGTACAGCATTAGTCATTGCTTGGTTCCCGAAATGCAAAGATGTAGTTAACCGATCTCACCAAAAGAAAAGTCTTCATGGCAATGATAAACACAAATTGAGCCGGTCTAACATACCATGGAAATGTGATATACTGATATACTATAGATAAAAGTTTCAAACTTGTACTTTTCTTTTTTTTTAATCCATTCAATATTTTTACTTCGGATACTAAGGTCGTGTGCGAGTTAGGCTAAGTTGATGCTAAACCAAAAGGGAGATTTTTTAGGATGTTTTGCACTGCACACATTTAGCCATTTATCAACACGTATCGTCACATCACTACATTATCGGCACAACTTAGAATTTCCCTCATTTAGAACGCAACTTAGGTCGTGTGCGAGTTAGGCTAAGTTGCGTTCTAAATGAGGGAAATTCTAAGTTGTGCCGATAATGTAGTGATGTGTCGGTATGTGTTGATAAATGGCTAAATGTGTGCAGTGCAAAAAATCCCAAAAAATTTCCCATTTGGTTTAGCATCAACTTAGCCTAACTCGCACACGTCCTTAGCCTAACTCGCACACGACCTAAATCTCTGATTAACTAAAATTACAAAAGTTTTTGTAGTTTTTCTGTGACTAGTCATTAATGACGTTTTCGTAACCTTACATTTTTGTAATTGAGGGGTGATTTTGCTACTCTGGCAAAATATGTAGAATACTATACATTAATTTAGGGTGTTATACATTTCGCTCAAGATTAACCGATCGAAAATGAAAATTGCATTTACAGTGAATCTCGATTGAAAAAGTTGCCTCAGATTTACTGATCGAAAACAGCATAAATTTGCATTTTTTAATAGTTCGGCTCAAAAATCGGCAAGTCAATTAAAAATTAAAATTGAGCTTATATTTAGCACATTATTTGTTAATTTCGATTTTAATTTTATTGTTATTTTTTATTATGTATAATCTTATAGGAATTTAGCAATTTTATTTTTAGTATATAGTCAATTATTTTTGCATATTTTTAATGTTAAAAAATTTCTATTTGAATTTAAAGTGAATGGCAAATTAAAAATAAAACAACATTTCATATTATCGGTCACAATACAGAACTGCCATAAATATACTATTAAGGTCGTGTGCGAGTTAGGCTAAGTTGATGCTAAACCAAATGGGAGATTTTTTGGGATTTTTTGCACTGCACACATTTAGCCATTTATCAGCACGTATCGACACATCACTACATTATCGGCTCATCTTAGAATTTCCCTCATTTAGAACGCAACTTAGGTCGTGTGCGAGTTAGGCTAAATTGCGTTCTAAATGAGGGAAATTCTAAGTTCAGCCGGTAATGTAGTGATGTGTCGATACGTGTTGATAAATGGCTAAATGTGTGCAGTGCAAAAAATCCCAAAAAATCTCCCATTTGGTTTAGCATCAACTTAACCTAACTCGCACACGACCTTAGTCTAACTCGCACACGTCCTAAATAGTAGTTCAAATGAACTTTTGGTTATAATTCTGTATATAACTCCTATTTGTATTTACATCTACATTTTATTATTTCAATTTCACATTTTCCGTATTGTGTTATAATTTTCTTGAATACAATAAACATGTATAATTTCTATTACACGGTCCACGATTACAAAAGTAATTATCAAACAAAATTTTGTCCCTAACATCATGTTGGACCGTGTATGTCGGTTTAACATATGTTTTAGGTGTAAATATTTTGACATTTTGCATTATTATCTTGAATATATGTAGAGTATATATTTAAAAACCTAGTTTTAAATTATAATATGCCACCAAAGAAGGATGCAAAGGGAAAGGACAATAAAGCTGCCGGTGGTAGTAAAAAAGGTGCTGCATCAGGTGGTTCAGATGAAAAAGGTAATCATACAGTTTCGTGCAGTATTTTGTTATTAATATTTTGATTTAAAGGTAAAGAAAAAAAAGGAGGCAACGCGGTTAAAGTAAGGCATATTTTATGTGAAAAACAGGGAAAAATAATGGAAGCAATGGAAAAGCTAAAGGCTGGTCAAAAATTTCCAGAGGTTGCAGCAGCTTATAGTGAAGACAAAGCAAGGCAAGGTGGAGACTTGGGGTGGCAAATACGTGGTGCTATGGTTGGTCCCTTTCAAGATGCGGCATTTGCTTTACCTATTTCTACAGTTAATAATCCTGTTTACACTGATCCACCAATTAAAACTAAGTTTGGTTATCATATCATAATGGTTGAAGGGAAGAAGTAGAATTCCTAACAAACCTAACATTTTTATACGAAATACATAGAAATTTTTGAAAAACTCGACATTTAACTATATAACTCAATTGAAAGCTGCAATGATTATTTTAATAACGCTTGCTTTTACTTGCCGGGATTGTACGTTTCTAGTATTCAACTCCGACTATCCGTTGATATAAAATTATATCTGAACAATAACTTCAGCAAAATTCGTTTAAGTTAAAATTGAACGTATGGAATTTAGATTGATTTTTAATCAATCTGAGTGATAAAAAAGTGATTTGTTGCCCGAAAGAATACCAACCTAATTTAGACTTTGTTGTGCCAGTCTATTGCGTGTCTAATTGCAGAATGTTTCTGAGTGGCGAAGAGATCTTCAAATCTATTTTTATCAAATTGATTTGTATATAAAGTAAACACACGCATATTTAAGGCTGTTTGAGGAATTTATAAGTTCATTCTTTGACAATTTATTTATACTAATTAAGAATTATGTGTACAATTTAAAGATATAAAAAATTAAACAATGTAATTTTTTTGATATCTTTTTTAACATCGTGTCGTTGACATTTTGAAATATTAAAGGTTATTTTTGGTACCTTGCTTAGAGCGAAATATTTGAATAATAATTAAGCCTTTGTACATTTTTATATATGTGTATTTCAATGATACTCATTTTCTCTACTTACAAAATCTTTATTAGCGAGTTTGTTTAAAACATAGTATAGAAAAAATTGTTATTTTTTACCTGCATCTTCTTTCAAACCAACTGTACGATTAAATACAATGCGTTCATTATTTGTATCGGGATCAACAGAAAAAAAGCCAATTCGTTCAAATTGATATTTTTCATAAACTCTCACTTTTCCTAATACTTGATCAGCCATAGCCCACAACACAGTCATAGATTTTTCATTTATATCAGATAAAAATCCACCAGGTACTTCGTTTGGATCTTCAGGATTTTTATGCTTAAAAAGCATTTCGTAAAGACGTACTTCTAATACTATCGGTTGGGATACCCATTGTATAAAAGCTTTTGGTTTTTCGGCTTTTTCTGTGGGCTGACATTCACATATAAGTTCAAGTATAGCTCCGTCAACATCTTTCTTTACTTCTTTAACCGATATAACTAATCCAGCATGTCTCAAACCAACGTTCTGTTCGGGAGATAAACGGCGATAACCTTTTTCTGGCAGTATTTTAAAATCGCTTTGTTCGATATAAATAACGCGATCGAGTAGAATTTTATGAGTTCCTTTTTCGGGATTTTGTGGGAAATTTGGTATTTCTAACTCAATCGGAGCCTTATGTGGAAAATTCGTTATAGTAACTTTCAGTGGCTCCAGTACGACTAAACGTCTTGGTGCTGTTACATTTAGCACATCACGAACAGCTGCTTCTAACATAGAAGGATCAACAGATATTTGAGCACCGGTTACACCCATTTGAGCACAGAAATTATTGATGGCATCGGCTGGAAAACCCCGTCGATGCAGCGCTGTTAAAGTAAATAAGCGAGGATCATCCCAATCGTTTACGATCTGCTCAGTTATAAGTTTAGCAATTTTTCGTTTCGATACTAAAGCGTAATTCATATTCAAACGCCCATATTCCCATTGTACCGGACAATAAATTTCTAGAGCATTGCAAAGCCAATAGTAAGACGAACGACGGGATTGAAATTCCTTTGTACACAGCGAATGCGTGATATTTTCAATTGAATCACATAGGCAGTGAGTATAATCATATGTCGGATAAATACACCTGCAAAAAAATAATAATTAAAAAATAGGTTTAATAATTTTGTACATTATTTCACCATTTGTTGCCTGTTCGATGGTGAGGTATAAATTTAATACGATAAGCAACGGGGTCCATTTTGCCTTCTTCTAAAGTTACTTTAAGGCGTAAAGTAGCGGCGCCTTCTTCAATTTTACCATTTTTCATGTCTTCAAAAAGTTGTAATGATTCTGAAACAGATCGGTCCCGCCAATCACTAGGTTTCACGTTGAATCCTTTCATATCATCCGCCGTTTGATGGCATACATATGCCAATCCTTTTTGTATCAAAATCACAGCCCATTCATATAACTGTTGGAAATAATCAGATGAATGAGTAATTTTATATGGCTTGTAACCTAGCCATTCCACCATAGCTTTAATGCCGATAAAGAATTTTTCTTCTTCCTTTTCGGGGTTTGTATCGTCGTAACGTAAATAACAAACACCACCCTGTGAAGCAGCATAACCAAAATTGATGTTTATAGCTTTAGCATGGCCAATGTGTAAAATACCGTTCGGTTCTGGAGGAAAACGCGTATGTACTTTGCCATTAGTTTGAAGTAAATGCTCTTTTAGTAGGCGTTCAGTATTTTCAGTAACTACGTATCCATCTGTTTTGTAATTTTCACCAGTAGCATGAAAATGTACTTTAGTTTTCATCAGTTCGGCAATAGTGCGGGCCCCGTCTGTTGTTTTACTTTCAGGTTCAACGGCTGTAGTAACTTCACTTGTAATAACTTTATTACCTAAAATGAAAGTAATTATAACGGATATTAACTAACACAAATTCAAGTTTCAACCTGTTGTGCCATTACTTGTTACTTGTTTAAGTTTTTCCTTTTTTTTATCTGCTTTTACCAGCGGTTTTAAATCATCTTCGGTTTTTGGTCCAAGTAAATCAAAAATTTCGACATCGATAGCAGCTTTTATGGATTTGGCATCGGCCCATTTTAATTCAGTACGTACTTCTTGCATAATTTTAAATGAATTAAAATGATAACGTTGAGAGAGCAATGAGTCCTTATGCAGTTTAATTTTTTCTTGAACAATGCGTTCAATTTCTTCCGGTGTAACTTCTACGCCAACACCGCATGCCCGTTCAAACTCCACGATATTTACGGCTATATCTTTTTTCTGTACATATTGAAGTAAATAATCCAAAGCTGCATCAATACGTGTAGTCGTATCCAATTTACGATCGACTATATAATCAACGAGAAATGGCAATTCGTGGATTATTTGTGGTTTTAATTTTGAAGCCATATGGTAAAGCAGCATGCCAACTCCATCATCAAGTTTTTTATTTTTGATATGCGTTAATGCCAATTCCAAATTGTTTGCAATGTTAGCATTTTTAATTGTTTCTTTGGCTTTTTGTTCACTCATCCCAAGAGACCGAAATTTAGTTATTATGTCCAATTCTGCCATTTCACTTCAGTGTTTAATCAAATCTGAATCCAATATTGTTTATAAGTAAATAAACAAGTCTGATGAAATTTTTTTATAATTAACCAATATTCCGCAATGTGGCACCGGGATTCGTATTTCACATATAGAGTTGCCATTTCTGTAAATTTAAAGCTTAAAGTACTAATTATTATATCATGTTTACATTTCGAACGTTTTTTAATGAACTTTGCTAAAGTTGATTCCCAAATGTCAAACGTCTACATTATCATTAAGGGTTTTCATTTTGACAGTTGTTGCTTTTTTTTTAATATATTAGACGTGTTTCAGTAAACAATAGTTGCATTTCACCCAACAATAATCCGTTCAATTTATATGCAATACAATAACAATGGGACATACCAGCAATTTATATGGTTCACATTCTGGTTCAATGTGGAAAGTGTATAAAAAATAAAAGTAGAACGTATTGTATGAAAAAAGTCATTGGAAATGCGATTTTAACATGACACTATGCAATAAAATATATAAACAAAACAACAAGTGAAAACATAGAGTTTGGCGGAAAATTAACGCTTTATCTTTATTTTTAAAATTGATATTATGCAAATTTAAATAACAAAATTTCCAGTATTATGTCCATGCTGATGCACTTCATCTCCCGTGCTTAATACACTTGAACTGGACTAAGAAGGAAGAAGAAGAGGTGTTTTCACTGTGATTCGATTTTTCTATTAAAATCTGCAATTTTCATTTAATTACTATAGAGTTTAAGTTAAGTTTTAAAGCAAATAATAAGCAAAAACTGATATTTAAAAATTCTGACATATCAGTAGATTATATATTTTTTACATTTGAAATTTTTTCAATTATTCTTTTAGCAGCAAAATTACTTACATAAATCAAAACAAAATTTTGCAAACAAACACAGCTGATATTTATACTGCGATGGCCAATTACTTTTACATGTGATCAGTAGGTATTCTTTGTTTAAGACCATATTTTCAACACTAATTACCTCTTGCATATTTAGTTTCAAGTTTTCAAGACCTTATTGCGAATGATACTATCTACTTGATTGTTTGATTTTGTATCTATTTTACGTCCAAAAATATCGTAACTTCTGGACAAAATCTGCATATCGAAAATGCGGCAACAAAAAGTGGACCAATAATGAGGTAAATCTCATTCCATGTTTTCTTGAGGATACAGAAGGTTTTGAAGTAACATATATGTTATATATTTGTCTATCGAGTTTATTTATTTTTTTATTGTATTAGACTCCAACAGCGCAAATATTTTAAAGGAAACTTGTAGCAAGAAAAAATATTAGCGCAATTTGGAATATGTTGCGGTTTAAAGTGCGCCACTTAAGACAAAGTTACAGAAAAGCAAGCGATTGGTGTAACTCAACAGGTTCAGGCCTTAAAAGAAATTATCATCGTTAAGATAAATGTAATTTAGTAAACTCTTCATCGTTAGCTAAAAGGTTTACAATTTTGTGGTCTTATTGTCTATTGGACTATTGTCTTAATAGTCGTGAGGACATCAGTGGACTATTCAATAAATTTTAGAAGTTTTGATGAAATTCCATGACGGCCCATAAGCACTGTGGAAATGTCTTTTACTAAATCGCAAGTGTGGCAAAAAAATGCATGCTGGCCTATATTGGCTACGCCAGGCATTGGCATAACGGTTGCAATCTGTTAAGTGTTATGTTTTCACAAATAGCAAAAAAAGCATAATGCAAGCAAATTTCATTTTGTATAAAAATATATAATTAACATAGATTGAAAATTAAAATGAGTACAAAATTAAGAGGAATGGAAAAAATGTTGAATATTTCAAAATAAAACACTAAAACTTTTCTTTTTTCCAATTTTTAAACTTATGAAATTTTTGAATTCTGTTTGAATTTTTATTTTTATTTACATATAACTTTTGACATTTGATTGCAATATTCGTTGGAGTTTCCAATGAAGGTTCAAAATAGTTCGCTTATTGCGTTGGTAACACTGTTTTATTGGCCGAGATATATAAAATAATGTTGTACTGCTCTGTTATATATATAATTACAAAAATCTAAATTAATTCTGCAATAGCAAAATCCAATTATTATAAGTAAATAAATACAACACAAAAATATTCTAAATGTTCTAAATATTTACAAGACTAATATGCATTCACGATTATTTGAGTTTGTAATGATGCACAGACATTTTGAATACCTCATATGGCCTATGCGAGTTCGAGTAAATTGATGGTAAATTCAGGAAAATAGTAAATAATGTAGGCATGGCAGCGAAAGTTAGTATTTACCAGAATTTTTAGTAGGGTAAGTTAGATAAAAATTATATAAATTAGGTATTACCATTGGGAAAATATTAAAAGATGTTTTAGAAATTAATTTGAAAACTTTTAACAAAAAATAATAAATAAGTGCAATATATATATAAATAAATATTTACATAAGTGTATTGCAAAAAATGCCTAAGAAATTTTAATTTATTCGAACTCGCACACGGTCGTATTTAATTTCATATGTAGATTCTAATATGTGTGTTTTGGCAGCACTAAATTTGTACAATGAAATGCAACACTGTTGGAAATTTACAAAATTTATGCAATTTGTTTTTTTAGCAAGAATATTTTTTGTTTGCTTTTGTTTAATGAGTGTTCTTCAATAATATTGTTTGCATAAAGTGAATTGGCTAAAATGTCGAATATAGTTACTACTAATACAAGCCTGATTCCCGGGACACTTACAGTTAAGGAAGAAAATCCACTAAAAAACATAAACAATTTGACTGACTTAGAATTAAGAGACACTAAGTCTCGACTAGAAAAGCTATTGGAAAGCAAGTACGTTTTAATATTTTGATGTTGAAAAGTAGAATTTTAATAATTGTTTGCTTTAATTGCTAAAAGAATCAGACTTTCAAAACTACCGGATAAAGGGAATCGTGTACAAACTACATATAAACGTGTTTTGTCGGAGTTGAAGCGGCGTGAAGAAGTTCAGGAAGCGGCTACCATGTTTTCTAAGTTAAATATTGCTAAAATTGGTAAGGCGGCATTAAGTAATCTAGAGTGGAATGGAAATATTTCCGAACTTCAGAATAATACCTTTCAAGTCGTTTTGGATAGTGATGATGAGGAGGAAATTGATCCATTACGTTTACTTGCACAAAAAAAAATGCACCGAATCACAAAGGTTTTACCACCTGAACCTAGTCTAATAACAGAAGAAGATATTCAAGAAATAAAAAAAACTCAACACACAAGTCGACATGATGAAAATGCAAAATCTAATGTAAATAACAATGAATACAATAATGTTTTAATTTATAATCAAATTAAAGAAGAAAATTTACAAAGCAAAATTGAAATAGATCATGTTGAAGAGTCTGCATCTGCTGACTCGTCCAATCTTGAATGGATTGATGAACATGTTAAGTATATAGTAAATAAAGAAAATCAAATTGTCCAACAGCGGGAAAAGTTTAAACCATATAAAACCACAGTCTCCAATGTACATGATCCCGAAAAAGAGCGTATCCGTAAAAAACATCAACATTGGGAAGTAACAGCAGCAACTCCACCATTGATTCAACATAAAGCCGCACAAAAGTTGACTTTGACGGACTCTTGTGAGCTGCAAATTCAAATAATGAAAAGGATAAAGGTAAAAGTCATTTGAAAAGTTTTCGTTTATAGATATAAAGTGTTTTTTAATTACAGGAATCACAGGAGAAATATGCACAAGAACGCTTGGCTGCTAAACTGGAACGTTTGCAAAATATGAAAATAAACATACCAGATGCGGAGGAACTTAAGAAAATGTCATCGTTCACAACATATCGGACTGCAAATAACGTTATTGAAGGCAATCTTGTTTTGTCAGACCATGAATTAAATGAAAATGATTAACAAGCAATTTAAAGTAGGATATGCAGAGTACAAAATTATTAAAAGTTTATATTATAATTTTTAATTAGTAATTGTAGATATTTCTTTTTATTTAACATATAATAGAACATTACATAAGCAACATACGTTTTTATAATAATAAACTAATAATAAAAATAGTTAGAGCTTAGCTCATGGAATCTACATCTATGTTCTAATATTTTAAACTTTTTTATAACATTTGTAAATACACATTTTAAATAGTGCATAAATTTTATATTGAGTAAAATTGGGTTGCAGTGGAAGCCTGCAATTCGATTTGACCCATCTTGAATTGCAAACGTTGTAACCACTTCAGCAGAGCTTCTGAAGCGTTCGTCTGCTGTTCTTCATAATCTGGTGCGTAGTCCCTCACATTTTGGAGACGAACGTGTAGAGTATCTGAAAGCTAACAATCATTTCATCAATATTAATGAAATATATTAACATACATAATTATAAGTATTTATAAATTTTCTTTTATAAAAAAATAATTATCAATTTTAGGGTTTTATAAACTTTTTGGGATACTTTGCCAATGGAGGCTTTCGTTCCCTCCTTTTGTTTATTTATATCACTTTCCTGTTAAGTGAAAGTAGTATGATTAAGCACATTTCTTGACATTTCTTTGTACTGTTACTTTGTACATATTTATGTTTAGAATTTTTAGTTTTTTACCTGTGTTTGTGAGGATAAAACTGGACTCCATAATGGTAACAGTTTTGCTAATACTGTGGAGTTTGTTTCTTTAAGTGCTTCCAATAGACTTAGAAAATGCAAGTTAACCATTTCTGACAACTGCGTAAATAAAATATTAGAACCATTATAATATTTTTCGATATCAAAAATATTCACCTTTGCATTTGAATTTTGGGTGAAATCAGTATTATCCTTTGCAGGTTTAGCATGGGAAACTAATTGCAGTATGCATGGGGTGACTTTTGCCCAAAATTCGAATAGTACTCCCATAGTGCTTCCTTCGGTATTGCTTGTGGTATGTGCAACTTGCTCCAAATAGACTGTCCAAAGTTGACACAAAGTAAAAGCATGAAATAACGAAGACATATGCAACACTGATGTTTTTGATTGCTCTGCAAATCCTGCAAATATAACTTGAATATGGTCGGCAATATGACATGATGCTTCTTGCGGCACGGGTTGAGACATAGGTGCACCATGGTGTTGGTGCTGATAGTGCACTGTTGTTGGTACCGCAGGTATGGTAGGTGCTGAATGTAAGCCCAGTGGCCTTTGTGTAAGTGCCATATGCGTGAGTGAGCCAAGAAGTAGCCATGACAGCAGTCGCATGTGTCCCACACATTCGGTGAACTCCTTAGGTCTGTAAATATTTAAATACATGTTTTGCTGAAATTTATATAATGAAGAAGTATTATTTTAACCCTTGTTGAAGTGATGATGGAGCATTGTATAGCCAAGGAAGATAACGTGCGACAGCTTTATTATCACGAGAGTTACCTCTCGACATTTCCAAAGCAAGATATTGAGCTACAGCACCTTTTAATACACCACCAAGTGTGTCCTCTCCTAACCCATTTTGTGTTTGACCATTTTTAAAATTCTTTGAATAATTACATTTTGTTAGTCGAATTAAGTGTCATATTGATCTACTAGTATATCTACCTTTATTTTGCTCAGAGTATGAAAATCCGCTAGAAAATCAATAACATCATTTATGTATTGTCGCAAACATTCTGCTGCATTTGTAGTTAACACCGGTGAAGTATCTGGAAGTCCCTGTATGCTGCCCGGCGGTAGTGTGCCTCCGGCATCCTGCAGTACAAAACCGATAATCATGAGTAAATTATGATCAGGTATATTAATTTTGAATTTTAAGGCTTGCACAAATTCGAATATAAGTTGCCGACAGAGATACATTTTATCGCGATCCTTGGAAAACGATCGCCCATTCAAGGTGCATAGATCATACAACACGCTATGCTCCAAGATCGTATGTTGCACACAGTATGCCAGTATTTTAGAATATGGATCCAATAATGTTTTTGGTACACAATTTAATCGTAACGACGACACCATCAAGTCTAACATATATTCATGGTGAGTCAGATTTGGCATAATGACTATAACTTGCCGTAATAAAGACTCCATAGCTTGCATAGCCTGAGCCCATACTACTTGACCTATACCACCTTCTACCAATACACAATGCAAATATTCGGCCATATTACGGAAAATTGTAGGTAATTGATCGATGGGCAAAGATTTTTTGGCTTGTAGTGATTCACATACCATATAAATAGGACTAGTCGCGTTTAGTTCCTGAAAGTCTTGTAAAGCTTTAGCTATACTACGCAAGGAGTTGCGACGTATTTTCACTGCAACGAGAAAAACGAATAAATGGTTGTAGGATATTTTGGTTAAAACATTTTTATTAGTATTACTTTTTAGTTGTGTTTGAAATATTTGGACGAATATGCCATTTGGTGCCAACTGATGTAACACGCATCGTATAAATTGCAAAGCGACCGCTTGTGCACTGCAAGCCAATGGTGGTCCATTTTCACCTTGCCAGGCATGAGTGCAGGTCAAGCAGGTTCTATAAATAAAAAAAAGTATAATGCTAATATTATATTTGATGTAATATTAGTAAATATGAATCTACTTTGATATAAGTGTTAAAATTTCTGGTAAAAATGGTGCTGCCATTGCTGGCTCGCGATGTATAAATGTTCCAAGTATAACAATTAATATTCCGATTTCTTCATCTGTATATTCTTCAATGACTGCACCGCAGTCTGTGCAACGCTCACATACTGTATAATCACCTACACGTCTTGTGCTCTATAAGACGTAAGACATTCATTATATTTAAAAAAATGTATTTTTCATGTACAAAGAAATTTACCACTCTATTTGGTTGTTGAGCGGTATCATGTCCATTTCCGTTATCGTTGTCATCTTCAGTATCTTCAAATGGTTCCTCTGGTGGTTGGTATGGTGGTGGGGGCCAAGAACCAGCAAATCGTGATCTTATATCTGGCATGGCATTAGAGTCCATTGTAAATGGTACTAATTTCTGTCTTGGTTTTTTACCAGAATCTGCACGTGTTGCTGATACATTGGTACCGGTACCAAAACCATTGGTTAAATGTGGCTTAAGCTCTTGACTCACAGTTTTCAGTATCGAAGTGTGCAAATCCTGAGTTAGTGCTGTTGTAGCATTTGGTGGTGATTCCAAAGCGACTTGTTTAATCAGACGGCGTGGGGAATTTGTGCGGCTGCTTGGCGTCACATCATCTTTGGTACTCTCTGACACATCTAAGCTATCTTGTTTAAGATGACTTATGTCTGGTAAATTAAGGGCATCTCGTACTCGTTCTACTAACGCAGTCACACTTTCTTGTGTGCCAATGGGTAGTAAACGTTCTTGAGTCGGAATTTCAAGTGTCGTTATACTTTTTGTTCCTGTCATCTTTCCAATACTAGCTTCATCTGTTGGATTGGGCATAACATTCATTTTAGATAGAGGCGAGTCTGGTGACCCATATGCTTTCTCGGAGCGTTTAAGTGTTTTACTTGCGATTTTTTTATGGCTTGTACCTAAACGTGAATCATCTGTGCCAGTAGATGACGAAGTTGATGTACCAGCACTGCATTCAATAATAGTCTTATGGCGTCCAATAGGTTTTTTGGAAATGACTTTTTGATGTTGTTGTTGTTGTTGTTGTTGCACATTGCATGATGTATGTGGAACGCTTTGTTGGCGTTTTTTATCTGTACCTTCCGAACTACTATTAGTTGAACGATTGCCATTGCTAGAGGCAGAATGATTTTCTGAAGGTTTTGTTTGTATGTCTTGTAGGGCGCCTAGTGCTTTTAAATGATTAGAGGCGATAGCAGCGAACATTTTAGATGTGGAGGCTGCAGCATTGTCAGTTGTTTTATTTCGTACAGTTATCGCACGGTGTACATCAACCGGTGGGCTTATTATAGCTGTCTCAGCAGTTTCAGTACCAACGAGAGGTGTAACGATCATACGCACGCCTTCTTGTAGACTGTGTCTTGAGTGTGTAGTTACCACCGTAGTGCTAACAGTTTCAGTAGCAGTGGATTTAATTTTAGTGGTATAAGTATCACCTGTTTTAGTAGTAATCATTGACTTCATTGTTTTTGTAGATTTCTGTTAGAGAAATATAAAATAAAACACAAACAGTTAAGTCAGTTAATGCATATATTTTAATATATACTTCATCGGTATATTCGCTAGTGCGTAGAGTACGGTTTCTTAGCGTTTCCAATTTTGATGGTGCAACTTCTTCAAAATGTATTGTATCATCGAAAGAACCCTAGTGTATAAAGCAAGTGTGTTAAAGAAAACTATATATTTATTAGAACCATAAGCTTACTGGGGCGCTACTGCCATGCAATGTGCTATCCGATAAATCACTTTCTGGTATTGCAACGAGTTCAGATTCAGTTTCATCAGCATCAAGGCTGGAGTCGTTATATTTTCGAAATGCGTGTTGTAGTTTTGGTGTAAAAGCAACATTTTGTCCTTTGCTCTTAGAAGCAGCACTTGTGCCTTCTGATGGGAACATAGGACTTGCCGGTGGACTTTGTTCTTTATCATCGGGATCAGTACCTAATGATGGTTGGCTCACATCACGGGAACGTGCAGTGCCTTGAATATCAAGTATGGTTGTAGTGGGTATACGTCTACACTGATGAAAGTGTCCACGTAAACTATTCATAACCATACGTATAGCAGATATAATATAGGCGCTTTGAGGCGGTTGGGTGTAAGCGTATTTGTAAAGTACCACCAATATAGTAAACATCCAATTACGGCGCGGATAATATTCTAGATTCCAAAGTGAATAGTTAAATACTAAATTTTGATAGCAATCAGCTGCAGAGTTATTGGGATTCGGTGCAAAAAGTATTATTTGCATAATGGAAGGTAGTATTAAACCACCGATTAAGTGATTTTGATCCAATACTTGTGGTAGATTAGCGAGGAATGCATTAAAAACAGCAGAAGCGCTAAACAAGTTATAACAGATATGAGTTTTAATAAAAGCAAAAATGTAGCTGTCTCACCGTAGGGCTTCAGGAGTAGTGTGAAACGTTTTATCTATTTGATTGTGTCCCAACAGCAGGAATAAGTGTTTAAGTACAATATTTTGTGTTTTTGTAACTGGTTTATCCTCGGATGGATACGCTTGGTCGGTACGAGACATAAACTGCATAAGTAGAAATACCAGTAAATGAATGGTTTCTCTATCCGATTCCTCCAGTTCAGTTATTCGACTTAACAAGCCAATGAGATTTTCATCATTAATGCCGCCTAAAGAGTGTATGTGTCCATCTATGATAATTTTAATAAAAAAATATTAATCCCTGGATATTTTTAAATATGTAGAACACAATACGATGGGAACGAGCTATATTATTTTATATATTTTAAATCAAGTTTCCATCGTTATATGCACTTTAATTTTTTATACATTAAACATTCATTTATATTTATACTCGTATAAAAAAATTTATAAGATGGACTAAAAATTTATTTGTAGCAATAAAAAGTTGTTTCATTATAAATTATGAATTAAGTTTTAGAAGTCTAAATTGTTAATCCATTTTATTTTATTTTCGTATTTACAATTATGATTTAAAAAAATTACATATAGATTCCATTAGCACACAATATATACACATATACATTACATGGCAGGCGCACAAATTATATTTTTTACGTTTTTATTTCCAAGAATAATACATACCAGTTTGGAAGGGAACACATATATGAGAATTTTTCAACTTGTTATATATATATGTTATATATATATAAATATATATATAATGAATATTTAAAAACATTTAAAATATGTACAATTATAAAATGAAATGAAGACGAAAGCTGAGAACAGATAAAAAAGATCAGATGTGAATAGATTGAATAATAGATATTCTACAATATTGTGAGAGAACAGAAATCTTCTAATTTTTTTGATGTATAATATAATAAAGTAATTATTAAAACTACGAGTATCAGATAAGTAGTAAAATTTTATATGTTAGGCATATATGCATAATGTAAAATCTATTTAACCCTATGAAATAGAACACGTAGAACCATATAATTTAAACTAAGAAAGGATCAATAATAATTTAGCCATCTACCTAATTATTAAACAAAGAATTTACGCATAGTTAACCAATCCCCAGGAATGGTTGTGATTCAAACCACAATATTTAGACGCACAATTAGTTTTAGTATTAAAAGCAATTCGGATAGAATCTAGAGAATCTATATGCGGTGGATGAATCAAAATGGTTAACAGCAATCTCTATTATTCAAGGTAATTTTAATTGAAATCAGTCTTCATACGTACTATATCACTCGTTAGTATACTATAAAATAGCAATACGTTAAGCTCTAACGTATTCTAATTGTAACGAAGGATAAGGATAATTGAATGTGAAAAGCTACGGTAACTCGAAATAATTTCTAATAATTTTAAAATAGATAAAAATAAAATTAAAAAGTATCAAAATCTAATTTTGGACACAGTTTTTAGCTTTAGAAAAGAAGAAACTGATACATATGCATAAGGTCAGATCTGTAAAATAAGTTTCAAATGATTTTCTTGCGTTGACTGATCACAAATTACAACTCAATCACTATTTTTGATTGATGAACTGCGATTAAGACGTTATTCAAAAGAAGTACGCGGGTCTACTTCAAAGTCTCCCACAATATATAAAATAATTTCAATTTCAATTTCTATATGACTAATTATAAAATTTATTGATCGTTTTTTGACCACTTGTGACATCAATCACTTTAATTAAACCCCCTCGGTTAAAAAGTTATTAAAAAAAAAGTTCTAGGGGCTAAATTCTTAGTTTCCTCTCAAAGTCACTAAAATTTAAATCACAACTTCTGTCACTGTGACCATTCTATTGGTCATCGTTTGACCACTAGAGTTAGAATTAAACCAAACGATATTTAATATATTAGGAATAATTTGTCAATTATGTTTGTGTTGGTACCCGTCCGGAATGTATGTGAGAGTATATTTCTCTTTTTTTCCTAAATAGTCAAAAAATTTCAATTGCTGTTCAATAATGCTCAATTGAAATGACTTATATTATATTTGGAGGAGCAATCTGTAAGTTGTATTAAGTATTAAACTCGAGTTGTATGGTAGTGTATATATGCAACAAAACAGATCCTATATATCTAAAAGTCAATGGGAAAAAATAAAAGAAAACAAATATGAAAATTTTTTTAAAATAGTAATAACAAAAACGGTTGAGTGGTTAATACAGATATTAAGATGTCTTGTAAAATAAGGTGTGTTTATTAGTTGCGCTGCGGAAAAAATACACTCGGGTTCAATACCAAAGTTTAATAAGCCATTCAAGGTGGTTTCGAAATTTTTTCTACGTTGAGTGATAGATCGGAATAACATAACAGTGAAGCGTCAACTAGTGTAGCTCTGATATATGATGTAAGCAGTACCAAAATATGTAGGATTGATGATATGAATGCAAGACTGATTAAATGTGATCTTTCTGTGATTGTGATCGGCCTATTCTTAAGAAAATATGAGAAGTAAAAAATACCTTGAATTTGTGGGTGAAGAATCCATTGCACGTGGAAAGCTATACAGACCCAACAGTATTATCTATAGGAAGTTTTAAAAGAATGGTTGCAACTTGCAACCCTATGTTCCATTCGAGGAAATGAGCACAAAAAGTTACTTTATTACTGTATTCTACAAATTTATTCATAGCTCGTATAGGTAAGATAATATTTCTGTCAATTTAATGTCGAAAATGGTTGTGATTTGGTTTACCACTAAGGTTAAAAAGTTAGGTGGTTTCGCGTATTTATCATTAGTTTCACTTCATTCTTTGTTTTACTTCATCGGTTATTTTAATTGTGGCTTTTCAAACTTGATTAATACTGCTCATATAAACACTTATGTTATAGTAGGCTAAAAATTGCTTGGTCTATGTTAAAGGCATTAAAGATATATGAGCATAGTTCAATGTACAATATACAAATTTTGGCAATCTCCATTGCTCAAAATACATGCTGGTTTCATTAGTTAAAGATACTTAAAGTACCGGAAAATAGAGGAAAAGGTGTAGTACACAGTTTTGGCTACTAACTGAAGTGTAAGAGTCGGTTGTACTAAAAAATATTAGTGAAGTTTAAATAATCAATATTGTCTATATACAATACATATCAAATAGGAAAATTAGTTACATATTGAAAAAAATATTGATAAATTCATTATTTGTTACAGAATACTACAGAATAAAATTAAATTTTCTTGGTAGAAGATTATTTTTAAAATAGTAAAATAAAGTTATAAAATAGATAGAGGCATTACGACGAGATTTCCAAGTAAACAATGCACATTAAATTTATCTATGGAAAAAAAGATACGTTAAAAATAAAAAGTTACATCACTTTGACAACGATAGACAAACATGCTCTACAACCTACCTTGGGTAGTCGTTGCGATAGGTGCAGGCGCAGCGGTTGTGCCACCCCCACAGCCGACATCACAAGTACAATGCATCTGTATTGCTGAAGCTGTAGGACTTGGACTTGGTACAGGAGCACCACTCGGTGGTGGTAGTAGATTTGGAGCAGAAGGATGTCGTTGAAAATGTGAATGATGGAAGTAATGTTGGGGCTGATGTGTCTGTGATTGTGTATGTGTATGTGCATGTGTATGAGTTTTACATGTATGGGAATCAGCTTCTTGCAGAGTTGGCATTGGACTATGTGCTGTCAATTGACTAGGCGCGACACAGTGAACTAAGAACTGATGACTTTGGCTATGGGCTGAGGTTAAAGTTGATGTTGTTGCTACTGGTGTATAACTACTTGAATGAATACAATGATAGGCGTTGGAGGAGGTTGGAATTGTAAAAGGAAAATGTGTAGTAGTTGTAATGGAACTACTGTGTGGTTGCGGGTGATGAATAGGGCAAGGATAATTGGCTGGTGCTATTTGAAAGGATGTGGTAGCATATTGTGCTGATGTATGTGTGGGTAGAGAATGACTAATATGACCGCTTGGTCCCAATGGACGAACATGTTGTGAATATTGTGCTTGATTACTACTAGTTGGAATCGTGTGATTGCCGCTAGACCCTAAAAACTGACCCAATCCAAAGCGTGAAGTTTTCCTTTTAAGTATGGGTGCCGATACCTGACGACTATAAATTTTTTCTTTTTCGAGCACTGTAAATATATTAAATATGTTTAAGAAACGGTTACATTTTAACACACTTACTTACCAAATTTAGAGTCCTGTCTAGGAACCATACTAGCCGGTGCTGACATGGTACGTTTATAGGGCCATTTTGTGCCGAAAGAAGCACTAAGTGTTTTTGCCATACTACCACTAGTATCCGATTGGCTAAGTGCTTCACGAGCTTTTAATATTTTTGATGATAACGCTTCACTGCCATTTTCTGAGTTGCGTAGGTCTCGTAGATATGAAATGTCACCACATTTCTCCAAATTGATTTGTGCTTCTACGAAAAGTGTATCAAAGCGATTTAAAAAGAATTCCCAGCTAAGTACTTTGCGATCTGACAGTGAATTATGCAAATGGTAAACCGATTGTAGGACAACAGGGCGATCTACTATAAATAAATCAAATTGTGATTCTAAACAAAATAATAACGACCGTATTGCTGTATCGTGTATGGTTCCAATGTAAAGGGTAGCTCTCTGCGCTACATAAACATTGATGTCATCCATACTTGCTATTAGGTGACAGAAAGCAGTAGCTAATGCGGTTTGTAGTCCCACTTCGGTACGTAATGGTGTTGAGTCCATAAAACGAGTTATAACGGTAACTCGTTCTACAGCGGTAAAACGTATACGCCAATCAGTATCATGGAAAGCTTCTTGCACTACACGCCAAAACACATCTGAACCCAAAGGCAGAGTAATGCAGTGTAATAAAAGGGGAACACAAGCTTGACAGATATGTGAATGTTCAGCATTGCTAAGCTCCCATAAACTGTAAACATTCATAAAGTTAAGTTGATCAAATTCATTTTGTTAACATTATTTATGGTTTGACTCACTTTTTAATTAACAAATTTTCTTGACACCAAATAAAAAAACCGCGATGTTCGCGAGCAGCTTTTGCTAATGCATCGCCGTGCAGTGCCATGACATTGAGACATTGTAGAACGTAGTAAAGAATTTCGGGCTTTTTTATGGTCGGAATTTCCTTCAAATAATAAAAATTTAGAAAACACTAAACAAGTGAAATCTATTAAGTTTTTATTAAGTGTAAAGAGGTAGAGGTGGTGTACTTATTTTAGAGTTTTAAATCAAGAAACAAATAAGTATTCGCCCAAGTGGCGAAGTAAGCTGACTAATCATCTCTCTCTTTCTCTTTTTTGTTGAGAACTGGTGAATGGTTCACCGATATGAATGGATTTGCAATTAAAGTGCCTAAAAGTAGACTACAGAAATACATCTTTTATGCTCGAATGTCTATTGAATTATTTAAAAGATGTTTCTTATAGTAGGTACCGTTTATTAAAAAATAATACAGATCGTCCTCTTAATTCCTTTTATTAACACCTCAAACTTGAACAAGATGACCTTCCACAAATGTGTTCATATATTGTTAGCAAAAGCACCACGTGGGTCATTGTAGTCTCAAGCATAGTTACTCAGTATTCATAGATTATAAAAATGTTTTTAATTTGGTAAAAAAATCCGACTTTCAAAGAAATTATATGTGTAACAAAACAAATTGAGTGAAGTCATTCAACCCTCGCAGAAATTAAGCCAGAAAGCCTGCTTTCATATGGACTGCATTTTTTGAGCTGAAGTAAGCGTATCGTGTCCTGTTACTACATATTAGTGTATTGAGTCGGTAATTAAGTAGCTATAAACTGTAACTGATAAAGATGATTTGAAGAAACTAAATGCCTAATAGTTTACCAAGTTCAAACGAGGAGAATGTAAATGATAAGATTAAAACTAATCTAATTGTCGTTAAAAGAGCCTGATATCGATTATTAAACATATAAGCACCAAAAGACAGTGACTATTGATAAACTAAGTTAGGTAGGAATTGAGATCTAAGAAAACTGAAATTATAAGTTATTTGGCACAAAGCAGATAACATAAAGAAAAAATGTATATAACAAAACTATTAAATTGTGTGATGAATTAGGATGAATAGCATACGATAGGAACAAGTAGAGAGATCTAATAGAAATCTGAACTTCTGTATGAACAACTAAAAAATTAATAGTACATACTACAGATTAATTAATTAAAAATGTTTTAAACATATTTCTGTTAATCTAACAAACTTACCGTTAGTAATTGATGTATATACTGTAGAGTTTGAGGTAACTGATCTAGGGTAAATTTAAATTTACCTACTGAGGTATGCCAAAAATCTTCACCATCTTCTTCATCTTCATCTTCATCAGAAAGACTACCATTATCACCACCTCCAGCTCCGGTACTTCCATTACCTCCGCCATTCTCTCCAAGTACAGAAGCTTTAGTTACACTAACATTGGCGCTGCCTAATTAATAAAGAAACTATTGCGACAAAGAATTTTAAAAACGTTAGAATATCCAATACTTACCAACGTCTGCGTCGGATAAAGTTATAGAACGTGCTATTGCCCTATCCGTTGGTATAATAGAAGCCAGATCTAATTGCTCAGATACTGTTTCAACAGTGGCGGTCATTATCTAATTTGATTTAATCAGATAATAAAATATTTTACACGTTTCAATTTAGGCACATACATATATTTTTCTACATATATGTAGATATATCATTATATACACACAGAATAATACATTTGGGTAACTTTATATGTATTATATATAATATTATTACGAGCGAATACATAATATACATATACGAATATAAATTTGTTGGTGCACGAAGATGACATTAACACACAAAAAACATATTAATATTTTATTGAAATGAATTGTATTAAATTAATATTTGCATATAGATTATGAGTATAAAAAAGTATCTAAAAATTATTATACTCAGTGATTTTTTAATTAATTTTAATTTTGTGATTATCTTGTGCTGTACAATAAACATTTTGTAGTTGAAACATGCACACATTTAATAAATAATAAAAAATATTTTATACTAAAAAATTATATAAATAAAATAATTGAAAATATATTTACATAATATTTTGGTTATTTAGTAATGTTTACAATATATATATATATATTTTATTAATTTTTTTTTTACATTTCAGTTTGATTCCTTGTTTATATTCACACACATACAAGATACTTTGAGACAATATAGTAAGAAATGAAATAAATTTTTTGGTAAATAAAAAATGAAACAAAAAATGTTTTTTTCTAAGTTTTATAAAGATTTTGAATAAAACAAGGAGATTTAATATTTTCTGGAGATACTGATTTCAATACAGATCACAACGAATTTCAGTTTTAGCACAATACTTGCAATTGTCAAAAACATTCAGTAATAAATCTTAAAAGTTAAGTTTAAAGAATTAAAAAAAAATAGTTATGTCAATATATACAAGTCCCGTAGAAATAATAGGTTAATAGGTTTCTTATTCATTTCAAAGTGAACTAATTATATGAAAAACTTTAAGTGCCCAGAGCGGACGGATATACGTGCCGAAGCCATACATCAACATTAATAATAAACTCCCATCATCACTGTGATTGCAGTTTCGCAGTAACTCAAGAGGGCATGCCAAACAGAACTCGTGGCCTTCAAGCGGGCTTCAATAACATCAGAAACACATGAATTGATAATATAGAATTACAAGTATTCAAGCAAAATATTCTATCTAGATCTGCGGACCTCAGGCATATTGTCGGTCATTTTGAGCTCTCACTGAGATCCTCTTATTTTGAAAGCTTCAATGACTATTAAATGCTAGACATTACGGTGGTCTTATAGATCTTAATTATACGAACATTTTTAAACAATTCTATAAGTTAATACACTAGGAGGTTATCCTTACACATTTATAATTTATGTCTTACGATTATGTTACGATAAGAATGAATAGCATATAATTTCTCTCTATGTAACTCGATATCATATAGGTATAACAGTTTCAATTGTATAAGAACATAAACTTTCTTAATAATCTTAGTATGGTACACTTCATAACCATACTTTGAAAAATTTTTTAAGAATGGTTAAAATGTTGTCCTGCAGTAGAAAGTATTAAAAGCTTGAAGATTCTTGAGCCTTGTCGATCCTGTGTGTGATCGAATTTTACAAAAGGAATTGTGATTAATTTAAAAATTTTATACTTACGCGATTAGTAGAAGTGAATGAGTTTTTTAATCGTATCTTCAAAAGTCAAGAACATACTTAACATTTATAGTGGTTGCACAAATATTGTCTAATTCGATTTGGACTAAGGCTAGCAATGAATATTCAGGTCCCTAACTAAAGTATGAAATTTTAAAATCACTGAAAACATTATTAAAAAGCACGTCAAGTAAATATAAAACTCGCATAATTTGTATTCAAAAACCAACCAGACTTGAATTAACTGGATATGTGGATGACTGTAATTAATCTTTTAGTTGCGAAAAATCTATCGAAAATATTAATATATTAATCGAATGGTCTGCAAATTTTACACCACAAATTTAGACATGCCCTGAATTTAGCTGAGCACAAACATAATTTAATTTAGTGAGTAAAAGGTGAGTAGTGAGTAATGGAAAAATAAAATAATGAAATATTTATTTCTTTTCAATTCATTAGTTAAGCTATGCTTTAGTCTCACAAAAGACCCTAGGCTGAGTTTTAAAAAACAACTTAAAAAACTGAGTTTTTAAAGGGTTCATATAAAATGTCTCTTTCCTCTTAAGGAGGGGTTTGCTTAACATTAGCCTGCTCAAAAAAAAGTTTCAACAAATTTTTGAAAAATTTCTCTATTTGGCGGGGAATACGCGGAATTTGAGTAAGAATGTCCAAGGCACAAATGTTTATCTATCTACTCAATTTTTGATTTAATTTTACTAACTTTAAATTTAGTACTTTTTGAATTGTTATTGCCAGCGACCTAGATGTTTACACATATTATACCAAATACCATTGGTAAACTCTATAATCAAAAAAGAGCATAAAGAATTAATTCAGTTATATATATTATGTATAATCGTTGCCACTCTTGTCAGTTCTTAGACAGATTCTTTACATTCCTTCTTAATAAATTTAAAAATGAAGTAATCAAAATATATGATAACAAATTCATCACTGTTAGGATAATTTTCGAGAAGATAATTGGGCTTACTTACTAATTAATATCACAGAAGTAAGCACCCTGATAACATCAAACGAATATTGTAATTTACACGATATTTGAAATATATTTTATCATAATAAGAGCGAAATTAGTAAAGAGGAATGCAAAATGTTTTGTGGATTGCCATGTGAAGGAATGTCTTTATATAGGAATTGAGAGAGTAATGGGTACATTAGGGGCATGGAGTTTAACCCCATATTGTACTGTGATTTCGCTATCGAATCAAAACTTATTCCAACTTAATAAAAATTGATAATGGAGAAATCGGAATGAAAAATGAAATGGTCACCATCAGTTCCATTTTATATGCCTAGCTTAGGGATTGTGCATTATTGCAGAGATAATAGATATGTGTTCAGTCAAAAGAGGGTAGATCACCTTAGTAATTCTTTGATATGTTCAGTCTTCATTAAGATTCAGCAATAAAGAAATGTATTGAAAATTAAAACAATTCTCCTATAAAAGATTTAAATCTACAACTAAGTTGATTATCTATATAACAAATAGTTGATAAAAACGTAAAGTATAAAATGTGCAACTAAAGATACAAATTCATAACTTATAACAATAGACGCTGTACATTAAGATATATACACTTAACATATACAATACTCGTATCAAATAAAATGGTTTAGATTTTAACACCAAATATTCTTCTCATGAAACAGAAAAGCAATTGAATCGAAAGAAATTAAAAAATATATATAAAAAATTTTATGATTTTACTAAAAGAATACATTTTCGAATTTGAATGCACAAAGTACCTCGTCTGTGGCGTGAACTTTTCTCAATTCAATACTATCAATTGAATGCCCATTATCGTTACTCTATAAAAATAAATAGACCAAGAAAAACCAATAAAAAAGATATACGAATTTTGAGAAATCAAGATAGATTTGTTCGACATCGCTGCGAAAAGGCTGTGTGAATTTATTGTAAATTGAAATTATAAGGAAAAAATAAAAATGTAGTAAAAACCAAACAATAATAATAGACGCGATTTTTTATTTGTAATGTAACTATTATTAATAAAATGCAAAATATTTTTCAATACCAATTTTTTTTATTTTTTTATTTAGTAGCTGCAAACGCAAAAAGTGTTTATAATATTTAAACTTAACCTCACTTTTATCTGCAACCTTGAAGTATTTTTTTATTTAATTTATCTAGAAGAACTTAAATATTTAAACTTAAGAAAAATGTGGAAATGAATAAATTAACAAATAATTAAAGTATTAAATTGACTTAACTTTGTATTTGTGTAGGAAATTCGAATTAACGCAAACGATTTAAATTGTAAATTGTATTTAAATTTTTTTAATAATATAATATAATATAATATATTATATTTAATTTATACATATGACTCGATATGGTATACATACGGAACAAACATGTGGCATGTGAACCAATACTCCACCAACGGAATGTGGCTCAGGTTGAGGAACCGCAACTGGCATAGGACCTAATAGTTCAGGCACATTTATAATTGAAAAATATATAAAAATAAGTTTATTAAAAATCTTTTATTAAAATATTTAAAAATTTTAATGAATTAACTTGTAACGAAATTGATTTAATATTTTTATAATTGTTTAGGCGCAATAAGGAAGGTTATAAAAATTTAACAAAAGAAAACATTCTCCAAAGCACCATGCATTGAATTGAAAGTGTGTATATTTCATCTAAATTGATTTTTAAATTTAAATTTATTTTTTTAATATTCATGCATTTAACTGGTGTTCCTTGTTAATGTATGTTTCAAGTGTTCGATAGTACATTATATATAGTATCGTATAGTATAGTATAGTGTATAGTTTATTTAGTAAAAAAATGTAAGTGTAATAATTTAATAGATCTCTAGAGAGATCTAGTTTTATTAAACTCTTTTCCTTGAAACTTATTTGTTGAACAACTTATAGAGTGAACAACTTAAATGCAATTCCATATGTTCTAGACACTGTTTTTTAACTGAACAAAAAAGACGGGAGAATTTGGTTAGACAAAAACAGTAAGTGACTAGTCGGTGTGAATAAATCCATGGTCAATCACCCGGGTGATGAAATAAACTCCTCTGATGTTAAGATTGCAGCATATAAAAGAATTTTGAAAACAGTGTATCAACCAACGACAATGTAATAAATATTGACTTCAAGAGAAGTTTTAAAATGGCGCTTTCCGATTACGAAATTTCCTAAAACGCTTTTTTAAGGTTCAAAATATGTATATGCAAGAAGCATGGGTCTTCTCAACCTGTTCTTATATATGGGTATTTGATCATATTACCTATATATAAGAACTAGAATATAAGAAACAAGATTTATTATTTAGTAAAGTTGTACCTACATTTAGGTATTCATACTTTTCTTTTCTACTTTAAAATTTCTGTATCTTATAGTATCTATATTGTTGTATGATTATATTAAGTATAATTTTGTATTATTATGTTGAACTACTGTTGTGAAATATGGTTCCCATAATGACACTACTCATTACCACTAATAGCTCAGATCTATATTCTGTAAACACGTTCAATAAAAAATAAAATTTGGAGTTTTGTGTAATTTATATAGGCTATTTTACTAGATAAAGTTTCCATTTTCATTTCATTGTTGTCAATCAATAAATTATTTTTATCGATATTATTTTTAGTGATAAGTTATTACATAATGATATGTAAGTATTACATATCATATATTAAGCTTTATATCTATTACATATTATATGTTTTTAAGAACATGGTTTTGCACAGACATTTGGTGCAAGAGCTATATCGATATCTGGCAGAATCCATAAAAATACAACACTGATAGTTATAATCCACATTGTTCATGTAATAAATGTAAAATAATTCTATATAATTTAAATATATAATTAAGTTCCATATAAATAACAACAATTTATTTTGTTGATCTGATTAAAAGTTATTATTATGATATAGGATGTCCTCATGACAGCATCATACAAATTTTGATAGGTACAAACTGGGATAAGATCATTTCTTGTGTTCAATTTAATATTATTAAACAGATCCAATACGATATAATAATAAATTTCATTAAGCCATGTTTTTATAACATGGTATAGTTTTTAAGCATATTGTGTTTTGAAATAAAGCACTAAATGGGAACACCAATAAAAATATTGCATACATATATATAGCTGGGTAATTTCAAGATAATATTTTGTAAAATTTCTTCCCCCCTTTTTGGCACAATTCTCTAACTGTTTTACAATAGCAGTGAGCTACAAAAAAATTGGTGAAAAAATACTTCTCCGCACTCGAAACAATCCAGGCTACACCGCTGCACGAGGCGCTAATTAAATTTGGAAGTTTAATAGAAATATTCTTTTGCGTCTCAATAAAGTGGTCTGTTTAATTAACGTCTATATTGGCTATATCGGACTAATGTTCGAGGTGAAAAAACGAGACAAAACATGATTATCTTATGCCGTGTGCTGGAGAACAGTTACTATATACATCATTAAGTTTTGACCATTAACTACGAAAATATAAATATAGTCTTTAATATTTCAAGCATATTTGTAAATATTAGTTGGTGAAGTTTTTAAACTTATGGACATCCATTGTTCGGAAAAAACTGTGGCGGGGCTTCTGTGTTTGTGGTTTGTGTAGTGTTATTTAGAGTTTTAACAAAATTGCACATTAAAAATGAAATGCGTGTCTAAAATGTGTTTCAATGGAAGTCTAAAGAAAATTCCTCTGGTACAATCCTAAAATTAACATACGGCACTAATCAAGCGTTAAATTAATTATTAAAATATATTGTAAATGTAACAAAAAAAAAATATTATATAGAATATCAACAAAAAATATGCATTTTTAGATCAATTTAAGTATATATATCAGTGTAGCTTATGCGCCATAATATTTATGGTAAAAGCAAATGTATATGCCGGTGTTTTTAAGTAATTGTTTTTAATTAATTAAATTAATTTTTTATCAATTAAGTAAACAATTTAATAAAATAGAAATACGAATTACAAATACGAATTTTGCTTTAAGGTGCTTCACCTGCCATAATAATTATTTTTCCATCGTCTGTAAAGAATTGATCTAGCTTTAAGATTTCTTGTTTTTTAATTTTTGTAATTTTAAAGTTAAAAAAATAATTTTAGATTTTAAATATTAGATTTTGTTAAAGTTAAAGTTAAAGTTTAAGTTTAAGTGACAGATTATATATTTTAAATATTTAATTTTAATGAGTTTTATAGCATGTGAATTTGTTATATATGTATACACGCGTTTGAGAATGAAAAGAGATAGAAACAGATAGAAAGGGTTTGTGAAAAAAGATAAATATTATTGAAAAAGTTCAAGTGTTTTAATTTTATTAGTATAAATAATATTTGTAATAAAAAGTGTGTAGGAGATTGAGCAAATATAATATATATTTCACAGATAGCAGATTGAAGTATACGAGTATATGCATTATCGATCAATTTAAGTTGCTAAGTACGTAAACCATTGCATATCACTTAACTGCATTAAAGTGCAAGTTGGTAAATTAATATTGTTAGAATGATAATTGATAGACAGGATTGACCACTTAAGATTGGATTACTTTTTATTTAAAATTGTTAGTTTTGAGAAACTTTATTTAAATAATGGTTGCGAATGCGTCATTTTATTACACAGTCTACTGACTACTCGAGCGTGGAGTTTAAAGGATTTTAATAACATTTCACATAGGGTGTTTAGTTCTTTAGGGTAAACCGTATTAAATAAATATTCAAAACATTTAATAAAATGTAAAGTATAAAATATGTCCCACCTGCAAATCCGCCTAATGGACCTAAGGGTATTGGCAGAGGTGCCATCGATAGAGAAACATCACGGTCACGCGACTTTTCTTTATCACTTTCTGGTGGACTTTTGCGAGAAGATTTTTCTTCTTCAATTAAATCTTCAATTGGAATCTATAAACAGTTATATAATTAAACCTTTTTATAAAGACATATATTTTATTGAATAAGTTTCTCATAACATACATCTGGTGGTCGCACTGGATTAAGTGGAGCCATAAATTGCACCAACTTTGTCGATAATTGATGCCACATAATAGAAGCTTCGCAATATGCACATTCAGCTACCTGTAAGATCGAGTGTTTTGTTTCTTTGTTGTAATCAGTGGCACATACCCATTTTTACCTTCAAGGAACAGACGTGACTACTAAGACCAACACGCGCTGCTGTAACCATGCATTTAATCAAACGTGAAACGTTTTCGCAGACAGTAGTATGTATTCCCATGTGCTGTTCAATATCTTGCAGTTCCATTTGTTTTAAAAGTATATCTAACATAAGTATGCAGCAAGTGAGGTTATGTTCGGCATCAGTAGAAAATTCGGTATGTCTGTTAGTTGGAGCTTCATCGTCTGAAATTGCCGATGTATTACCAGAATCGTCCTCTACTACGGGTGCTAAATATCAGAAATAATAGTTTACTATTACTATTATATAGATAATAGGAAAATATACATATATTATTTGAAATGAAACTTAATTAAAAAAATTAAATCAACATTATTATTATTAATAATTATACTCAAACCATACTTATACAAAAACATTCTTAAATTCTCAAAAGGTTTCATTACGGGTCATTTTGGCCCGTAAAATATCACCTACATAAACTACGATTATTTGCTAATTCTGAATGCAGATTATACCATGAAGATGATGAGACAACTATGCATATTTACTGTGATTGTCTAGCTTTAACAAAGGCACAGTCTTGTTTCATGTGGAATTTCTGTCACGAGTACATATTAGGTGCTCTTCTCCACATATAGTTTTGGACTTTCTTAACAAACCTTTAGAGAGCTTTGTGTAGTTAAAAGTGAATTTAGTATAATAGGACTATTTTGGCCACAGTACCGGCTGTTGGGCATATAATAACAATAATATTCTTAATACTTTTTTTTGTTCATTCTATAAATTTACAATTAAAAATAATTTATTATATGAGAAGGAGCAAATTATTATGACTTACAAATTGAAGAGCGACGTGGTGGATTTGTCATATCAGCTTTACTTTCTTTTGATGGCGTCTTTGGGCCTTGCTTCTGACTCTCTTTTTCACGCATCAATTCATGTTGCACACCAAATTTCATAATGCGAACACCATCACCGAACATAGCAAATAGTTGTACTAAAGGAATTAATATTTCTAGCTTAGTTAAAATTTGTAACCAATGTAATGCTTGTTGTTGAACTTTTGCGGTTGTTTTTTCAAAACGTATGGCTACGAAATTGTACATGGTTTTCGCGTCAAAACCTAATGGAGACATTTCCGGATCTAATATTTTACTTAAAACAATTTTTAATTCATTTAGTTCCTTTTCAGCAACGTCATTAGTTATTGCCTCCATCCAATGAGGCATAACGTAATCCCAAATTTCCGAAGTAATAACTTCGTAGGGCACAAGACATATCAGACGTTGTAGTCCTTCCTTGAGGTGACTAGTACGTGAGGCTAAAGTCTCCCAATGACCGCCAACTCGTGCATACTCTGGTGGATGAGGTAGCAAGCATGATATAAAAACCTGCAATATAGATTTATATATTTAAAAATTGTACAAACTTTTTAACTAAAATTTAATTTACATTGTAGTGAATACGACAAATTTCCTTCAACCAGTTGCAAACATGTTCCACTTTAAGTTTTTCAATTGTGCTCTCAATTTGTCCTGCAGCTATTAAAATCATATTTTATGTAGAAACGTATATATGTATATGTCACTATTTATTACCATCGTAAGAATATGCAGTTACGTGGAACCAGTGGAACAGCATGCTAAGTATGCGACCTAGAATTTCTACAGGTGTGTCTGGGGTTGGCGTACAGCGGCCTACTAGTAACCAAATACCATATCGACCCAACATTTGTCGCTCATCAAGTGAAATCGTATCTGGTATACCATTGTGGCCATTTTTTTTAGAATCAGAACTTTCCTTTCCCGGTTCAAAATTCAATGGTTTTGTTTCGCGCAACAAGCTAACTACTGATTCCACCATGTGCATTTGCATTTCAGCATCCATTTGCCAAGCAGGTGGTAAACTGCGATGTACCACATGATCACCTCCACGGCGTGCATTATGACGATTGCTATGACACTGTGCACAATATCGTATCGGATGGTTACCATTATAACTGGCACACTCCGTTGAGAAACAAATCGAAAATGCCGATTTTTCGGTTGATCGACAATTTTTATTTTCACACACCATTGAGACTTGTTGCATGGGATGTAGTATATCACCGAATTCAAGATTAGCATGCTCGCGATGTATTTCATTGGCACACTCAATGCATAGATAAAGTGGTGGAGGACAATCGGGTGCATATGTAATGCTTATGCTGTGGTCGAAACAAACTTTTGCTGCTTCCGCATTGCCTGCATTTGGACATTGTTCACGCTGGCAAACGAAAGGCACCATATCATCTGTGGAGATGAAAGAATAATAATATATTTAAAATATAGTGAAACCCATCCTTAATTCTATCCTATAACTTACTGGTTAGTTTGGAAAGTAATACTTTGCGATCAAATAAATTGGCGTCAAATGCAGGCCAATAATAAAAAAGTAATTTTGCTGCAGAAAAACGAGACACTGCAGTTCCGTATGCCACCACACATAGTATATCCTTGACAACATTGTGTTTTAAAGTCATCAAGCATTCAAGTAATTGACAGTGATGTGCTAGGAAAGATTTAAAATAATTTAACAAAAAATTTCAGTTTACGGATTTATAATCTTACCAGGATTACTTGAATATTGTAGAACCATCATTATTACGGAGGAGACAGATTGGCATGCCTGGCATTCCTGTTCATCGGCGCTGCGTCGTGCTTAAATTTTATTAATTTAATTTTTTTTGAAAAATTTGTCAAACAAGATACATACATACTTTCAAAGCGATTTTGCTTATTTAGTACTTATAATTTAGATAAAAGTATTAACTTACTTATTGTAAATGGTAATACATAATAACATAGCGCATTAACAATTTCTTGATGTAAAGCTGGTGGTAGTACAGAAATAGTAGAGCTTACTAAATAGGGTAAATTATCAATTAAATCCTTGTCAAGGAATGGTAGTATACAGCATAGACACTGTAGCAAGGCTTTTCCAAAAACTAAACACATTTAAGTAAAACTAATGAGCTTTTTATTCTTTCATATGAAGGAAATTGAACTCAATTACCAATTTGTCCATATTGTATACAAGGTGCGACATCAATGAGCATAGTTAATGCATTATATAGGTTGCCATATTCTAGATTTGGATAGGCTGACATACGTGTAGGGTCTTCCATTGGATTCCGTATAAGTTCATGTGGAGAAGTGCGTACATCTTTAAGGACAGCTAAAAAGATAGATATGGTGACTATAGTTACAATTTTCAGAATTTGAGAAATGCGAAAAATTAAAGAGTTTATATTATTATAAGATATATGATGTATAATTTTTAATAGTACACATTGATTTTATTTTACTTTGAAAACAAAGTAAAAATATTTATTAATATAAATATATATACATATTTTAAATTTATTTAAATAGTATGCAAATTTTTCTTTTTAATTTCAAGAGACATTTTAATATATATAAAATAATAATTATAATATAATTACATTTATTATAATGTTTATTACATTATAATGAAATATAAGCCTCAACTAAAGTAATGACAAAATACATGAGTTCAATTAGTTTTGATCATTATTATATATAATTTTATATAGAAAACTTACTTAATAGAGTTTGAGAAAAGTATTTGATATTATTAGCAATATCTACGCCAGAGGGCGCTGGTAAAACATTGTGCAATAGGCGTACATGGTATTCATGGAGGCATCTCAGTTTAGCCTGAACTGTACGAATAGATGAAATTTACATTAAAATATTTACTATTGATTCTTATCATTTATATATACTTACAGGCAGCAGCACGAGTGCCCATATTGATGAGTTGCACCTTGAAACTACCAGTCATTATATCAGACAATTCCTTTGCATTGCCAAAACTGCTGCCAAAGGTCTTAGCATTCTTATAAGCGATAAAAACATAAATAAAAAATGATAGTCAATCAAAACTATTACATTAATAATTATTCATATTGTTAAATAAATTCTTAAAAGTACAAATTTTATAATTTCGTAATGCTTTTGCTTAAATATAGGAATGTTGAAGCCTCAAATCCTTTTGATAGTTTTAGCGATATATAACACATATTCAATGTTAGTTTTATTGTAATTTTTATCTTCATATATAAAAATAGAATACTAAACTATTTTTACCTCGAAATTTGTTAATTTTTTCAATATATTTGCAATTTTTTATAAATTTTCTTAACGCACAACTCCGCACAGAAAATGTATCTAACCGAATTTGTGAAAAAGTCTGAAAATTTTTCCATGTGTGTATCTATGAAATTCTGTATAAGGAATTTGCACAGCTGCGTATAGGGTCCACAGTTGAAATATACGTAGCTTTTTTAAAGATATCACATGTACACATGTTGAAAAGTATTTTTTACGTATTTGTATTATAATAATATATACTTGTGTCTCTATTCTTTGATGTAATAATCTCTTTTTATTTAATAAAAAGAAAATACAGGGAAGGAAAACGATTTCATATCAAAAATATATAATTTTTTTGTGGGTGGTTTCTGCTAGTTGTACAATAACTGATAATTCAACAGTCGATATGTGATACTGAGTCGGTACATTTCCCGTCAAAATAAATAGTAAGTCTTGCTATCAGCTGTGTCAAGGACTTGCGCAAAAGTCATCAACATTGTGGTATCTACCGGCAGGCAGCTCGGCTTTTTGCATGTAAACATTAGTGAACAACAAGTGTTTGTTTATGTTTGGAACTAGATAACTAGATGTTTAGATAAATATTTATACCCATGCACAATTATTATCAGCTGCTCTGTTTACTAAATAAATTTGCAGCTGTTGCTTATTCTTTTATCTACAGGTGCTTTTATCTACACGCATTTTATCTACACGGTATAGATGTTAATTGTAGTATTACATGAATGGTTATTGTTAATAAGTAATACATATATATAGTTCGTATTTTTGATACTCGTACAACTTATATTTTCTACAATAGCTAAAGCATTAAAGTTTATATAATTGACTTAGTTGCAGTGGCGGAGCTAGACCAACTCTGCACGTCGGCGACATCAGAATTGCGAGGCCCCCTTTATAACCCAGTTGTAAAAGTAAATAAGTTACATTCACTAATGCGACAAAGTATGATTGAAAGTTTAATTGCTACTCAAATTAAAATAAACACAAATTAAAATAAATGAACTTTCCTACTTTTAGCCTCACTCAATTTTTTTTGAAATTATATCTTAATTTGTGCCAGCTGTTATTTTTGCTTCAGTTTATAGAATTTCCAATGGAGATAGTCTCTCTTGGATCATCATACTTTTCTAGTACGTCTTAATCAATTTTAACTTTGCTTCTTTCTTTCCGTCGAAGCTATACTGACTGGAACTGTGAACCTGAATCTGATTACTATATAAACATTCGGGAATACTTTGAATATGGTTAATGCCATTATCAACCCAAATTGTTGGAAATATTTATTAAGTGCTTAGAATCCACAGTCGGTAAATTTTTGCAAGGCCCCTGCGGCGGTCGCCGACATTGCTGACGCCTAGCGACGCCACTGCTTAGTTGTATTTGTATCTTCATTGTTATATTAGATGAGATACCTGATTAATTTGCATTTATAATAATATCGCAACTTATACTTTTTAAATATTATATCAAAAAAAGTTGATTGTTTCAATTAGTTATTATATTTTAATATTTATTTCAACAGAAAAACAATAAGAAAAAGTTCTTTTATGGAAATACTCAGATTAACAATACAATTGTGTATTGAATAAGGAAAATTATTCTATTTTATTACACCTTAGAAATTTTTAAAGCAATTAATTTTATCAGTAAACACACTCGTATTTACGGCGTTATTCTAAAATTTTTCTTCATTTCGTAACATATCTCTCACATATCTCAATAGTAGGTCCTGATTTCTTTACTGCTTCAGCTGTCGTAGACTCATTCCTTTGGTGCACGGCATAGAGACACGTGAATCCTTTTGTCATTATATACAATCAGATCTAAACATCTAAGAAAGTTGAGAAATTGACTGAGTACTCATAGCATCTATTTGATTATGTGGCACGCAAACTTTTTATCATTTTCATAGAAAATGGAATAGATAAGGAAGTCAATAGAGGTAGGTTGGCACTCTCTTTCTATTAACAATTAAACTGTTATTCTTTTGCATAGAGAACCGAATCATTTAATAATCATCAGTTGTTCTTTTAAATTCACAATTTATACTAACTACTTCAATCTCACATTAATATAATAAACTTATTATCAACTGAAACATATATTATCTTTTCTCCATCCACTTAAATATTTTGCATTAAAAATCAGTACCCAACGTTTAAATATTTAGGTTGTATTAATGTAATATTTTCAGCACTTGTAAGTATTCGGTAGAGCAATTCTAATATAAGTATGACTACATTTTTGGGGTGATATTAATATAAGGCTTAAAAGTAGATTAACAAAGTTTGGTTATGCATTACACAAAATAACCTTTGAACTATTCCGTAAGTAGTAGAACACTGACTAATAATAGCTTTGAGGTAAATATTCAAAACTTTAAACCGTTTGGTTTTATTTTACCAACTGGAAAAATGGCACTTAGGTAAGTGAAGTTTTTTACCACACAACCGGGCGAAAAGCATAAGGAATCTACATTATAACAGTTCATTTAACTGAACCCATATTTATAAATAAATCAATAATATTATATGCTTTTTTAAAAAGTCAAAAGTTATTGCTAAATCTTTTATTATTTTATTATTTAATAACTGTAACGAAACTATACCAAATGAAATTTCGGTGGTGAGTTAAAAACTTAAGCGAATTTGTTAGATATTTCAAAAATTTCATTTTTATAAGTTTACGCTATTCAACTATTTCAACATCATTATAGTGTACACGGTGTTACATATAATTTTGATTGTAATTAAAAAAATTAATTTCTATATAATAAACTTGAGATATATAATGTGAAATGTAGGATTTTGCAATTGTAGTGCTTTAGTCATCTGAGATCTTAAGTGAGTGTATTTCGGCTTCACGCTTCTTTATTTCCTGTTCTAAATCACTGATGCCATCATCATCTTCTTCGGCATCTTCTACCGTTTGCATTGCTGCGGCACTTTGCTTCTTAGAGCCTGACTTCTTGAGATTGAGAGACCTTTTCGAGCTGCTAGATTTTTTAATTCCTTGACCAAAGGAGGAAGTAGCAGCACTACCTAAATTACTTGATTCAGACTCAATGGTGTTAGAAACACTACGATCGTTCGGGACAATAACACTAGGAGTTCCAGCAGTAGATGTAGAGGAACGCTTGAAAAAGGATTTCATGTAATTGGAAATGGAGTTTTTCAAGCTAACTTTATTTTCACTACCACCGGCAACCATTGAAGAGCGTCTATTAAGAGAATTGCTTGATGTTGGTTCAGCAACACTCGCGCTTGGATCAGATGCACTGCTTACTGTATCTAAACCACCACGACTAGCTGTTATTGGAGAACTAGCTAAATGTACTTTGTACTTATGACATTGATTTAATATTAATACTCACCAATTTTTTGCATACCACCCATGCGTAAATGAAAGCGTTTGGAACTTTTACTATCCAAATTTGCGGTTTGATCTGCATCCTCTTCAGAAATAGAATCTTCATTTTTCTTCTTTCGTGATGTGGAAGCTTCAGAAGGGGAATTCTTGTGTGCGTGGAACTTAAAGAAACGCTTTAACGAAGAAGTTTTCGATATTGATGCCATAGTTTCATGTTCAGTAGAATTAGAACTACTAGCTGCACCATCTAGCGAAACCTCTTCCATGTTTGGTGACTCACCAGTTGTACCGACGTGATCAGACATTTTATATGCTTTCAAATGAAATGTAAAGGACTTTCAGAAAATAAATAGTAGATGGTTGGGTTGTAAATTGTTTTATCTGTGATAAAAGAAGTTTATATTTTTTCATATTTTGAAATATATATGTAATAAAACATTTATTAATGGTAACTTTGTTAAAAATTTTTAAATTTTCATCTATTAATTCCAATGAAATAGATATAGATACTTATTGAAAACTAGGTTTAACTATTTGTTTCCATTTTCGTCTCAATTTACTATCTAGCTGTAGATGATTAGTGTGCATTTAAAGTATATTGATTGAAAGTATATTTATTTAATGAAGTATTAAAAAAATTATTGAAAAACGCGTTAAGTGTTGTAGTAAACAAATGGTACTGATAACAATTGTACGACCTCAGCTTAAGAAAGATGATTAGGTATTTTTGCTGGTCATTAAAGTGTGAATTTAGCCTGTTCAGATGATAAGAATTGCATGTGCAACAGCATAGATACTTTGCTGGCAATTAAAGGAGACTAATATCATCAGCAACAAAATAAGTTGAAATTTTGGCAACAAGCAGAAGTGTCTGCAATTCTCATAAACGCAATAGTTTTAACCATCCAATCTCAAATTTTCAAAAAAAGAAGTGTGACTGTAACCAGAATGGAGCAGTTGATTTGAGTAGATGCATTGTTAATGTCAGGAAGCTACAAATAAATATTTTTTGGCAAAAAACTTCAAATATGAGCAACTGCTGCTATTGTAGCTAATAACAATTGCTGAGAATAAAAACAATTGATGCAGCGGTAGTGGTAGAGGTAGTTGAGAACAATATTATCACAGCCATAAACAACAGTTTCTGTTGGACATCATTTGGCAATGACAATGGCAGTCTTCGAAGTTGCATTAGTTGTTGGTTGGAGATGGCAGCAAAAAGTACGAGCATTTGAAAATATGCTTCTGAACTCCAAGTCTGGTAATAATGCAGACATTCATCTTGAGAGTGTTTTTGATTGCTCTGTGGTTTTTATGTTTGTTGGTTTAATGTGAACGTTGCCGGTTAGGTGTTGCGGTTGCAAGTAAACAGCTTGTTTTTTGTTGCTGGCATTTAAACGTAAATATTATGTATATTTGTATAAGTATATTTGTAAAGAAATGATATAAATTTGTTACTTTAAGATAAAATATGCAAACAAAATTCTGTATTGATAAGATCAATTGATTGCCTGCTTAAAAAATTTCTTTTTCTTTCAACCGGCGATAATATATAATAAAACTTTAAGAGATAATGTAGTTTAAGTCCGGAACTCTTTTATGGCTTAGTAATAAAATTTATTTAAATCGATGTGTTTATTTTGCACGTAGTAAACTAACTTGCTTTCGCTCTTTCCATACATTGTATAATAAAATCTTATATAAAATTATTAAAGTGATAAGCCCAAGTGCTATAAAACTGCTTACACATTTTAATTTTATTATTACACACCTTAAATTAATGCGTGAGAAAAGTACAATTTATATTTTTTTAATTTGTTAAGGCCGTTAAAGTAATTACTGCCGAGATGTCAGAATTATTATAGCAACATTGTATCTAAAAATGAGTTTTTTTTATCGATATTTGAAGATTGCTTTAATGTGGACATTAAACTAGTTACTGATATTACTTTAATGCATTATCGGTGTTATTGGAACCAGTAATTGATGGAAAACTTTTGCGACAGAAAGTAGTGTACGTTTTTCGAGTGAGAAAGCCTTTTTCCATGCCTTTTATATTTAGCGTCTTAAAGTTAGTTAAACTAAAAAAAACCACATTTAATCTTGATCATTTAATCATAATGTGATCTTGATTACTTAATCAAGTGCAAGTGCTGAATGAGGGTTTGTTGCTCTTATCGCCCTAATAGTGTGCTTTTTATTTAATTGCATATCTATTGTTTTATGATATTAATTTTTTTCCGAAAAAAGTTTATAATTTAAAAATAAATACAGGAATTCGCAAAAAATGAAGATTTATACAAAGACTTGAGAACCGAGAACGAGCAAAAGTATGTCAAAGACAGAGCGCTGAAATTGTTCGATTCTGTGGAAGTGCACACTAATTCAGAGTTGCACACTCTCAAATCTAAGGCAACATATATTTCGTCAGGAAGATTTCTTGGGCTTCAAAATGTACTTATATAAAATCTTCTAAATAACTTGTTATCAGAATTCAATGGAGCTCTTATTACAGTAGATTATCTAAATGGTCATAGACACTATTGAGTAAAGAGCTTTAGACATTAACTCGCGTTTGATCAAACAAAGAGGAAGACCAAAATGTTATATTAAATGTAACTTTAATTATATTTACAATTTAAACCTGAATAAATGAATTTGCTTTTTCATTTTATTTTATTTTGGACTAAATATGAAATATATAATAATCATTGAAAAGGTTAACTATATTTTTGCTAATTATTCTAAAGTACTAGTAGTTTATTTTAAAAGGGTAGGAATTTCATTATGTTATTAAAAATGTAATTATTTTACTCATACGAATTAGTTATATAAAATATTTTATGAAGCATTTTATGTTTATACATAAATGCTATCAAGATTATAGTCGTTTTGGAAGCTTTTGAAAGTTCTCTCTAGCTCTATAATTGAAGAAGTTGTTTAATTTTGTTCATAGTTTTTCGCAAAACCAACAATCAAACGTATTAGTCGTAGGTTATTTTAGAATTTCAGATGCTTCATTTTGATTATGTGTTAATTGGCATAAATAGTAAAATTTTTATCTCACATTTTAGTTTAAATTATATGGTATACTATATATTGTTCTATAATCTTCCATAAAACTTTGGTACAGAAAGATGACAATCTAACCTGCCCTATAGGGCTATTAAAGTAGTAGTTTTTCTATATCAAGCACGATTATACCCGTATTAAATACGGAAAAATCTTGGATTATTAATCTATAAATAGATTATTATTTAAGATAACAGAATAAATATTTCTATACTTCCTCAATTGAGAAATTGCAAACATATTTATGTTTATTAAATTCGCAGAATCAAAAATAAATACCAACATTTTTAGAATTTTTTAAATAAGTACGTATTTATTTTATCTCTAATGTTTATGCCATCCATTTCACATTAGTTGATCTTGGCCTCTCCGTGATTTCGCCTTACATATATATGAGTTTTTTCGAGTTTCGGCAATATCAAAATTCTTTTCATATATAAAGGTGAATGCACCATTATATATATATATATATATATATATGAAATATAGTAGTACCCTTATTTTTTGAGATGAATATTTAGTAGTTGTGTGCAAAAACTACACTGACAATCTCAATTTGTGAGTTATATTACAATAGATGTTCAATAAGAAAAGTATATAGTATAATAGTCACAGTTTTTAATCGCCGGACCATTGACAAAGTCTAGGTTTATAATTATCTAAAATTTCACAAATAAAATTTGTAAAAATTCATCTTCAAGTTGAAATTACTAAAAATTAAATTAAACGCAAAAGTGTCTCATGAACATTGATTTAGCTTTTTCTCCTTATGAATTATATTAATATCGTCGACACCGCTAAGGACGACTGAAGTCTGTAATGTGAATATAAGTAAATAATACCCATTCGTAAATTTCAAAAAATAAATTAGAAAATAATTTCGTTCTTCCCCAACACATTGCTACGAACTTAAATGAATTTTAAAATTTTATAGTTTCGATGTGGCTTCGGACTATTAAAGTTTATTGGAAGTCTTTCACAATTCAAGTTTATTCTCGAAACAATTTTTTTCTATAAAACTATTATTTCACAGTATAATACATAATATTATTAAATTACTTGTTTTATTTGAAGAATTCGTGTCCTCCTTCCCGCGAATGAACTTTTGTGCAATATGATGAACCGGATACTACATTTTCAAATGTCACTACACTGATATACTGTTTACTCTGGTTAATATTAGTTTACTATTAAAATTACAAGGTTGCATTTGGTTTTTTTTTTACTTTAATTTGTCATGTCTGTCGGAACATGCTTTGTTGTTTAAATATTTATTTGTTTCATAATTGAGCCGTGTGCGAGTTCGAGTAAATTGAAGGTAAATTCAGAGAAAAAGGTATGAAATAGAACGTTGGTATTCCCCAGAATTTCGAGTAAGGTAAATTAGGTCGTATTATGGTGAAAATTTTATAAGATGTATATTAAATAAATAAATTAGTTTTGAAACTTTTAACAGAAAAATTATAAATATGTGCAATAAATAAGTGCAGTGCAAAAAACCACTAGGAAATTTCAATTTACTTTACCACAATTTACTCGAACTCAATTTACCCGTGTGCGAGGCCTTATTTGATGTTGTGTTCTGTTCTATATTTGTGGTAAAATAATTTAATATATTGAAAGTTTAATATATTTAATGTTAGAGGAAGATTACATGTAATTACACTTCTTTATATTGAGATATCATTCTTTGAAGTATGAGCTATTGAACAGAACAAGTTCTTAACGACACAGATTGCGTGTCTTTATATTTTACAAATCGTGATTTAACGCTTTTAATTCTAATTGTATGCTTAGGCCAGATATTTGAGACTACGTGCTAAACAACATTAAGAGTAAATGCCACTTGCTCTATACTAAAAACGCTAAAATTGCTAAAAGAGCGTCATGTCAAACTATTTACTGCGCTTATTCATGAGCTCACCACAATCACTTCCATTTAATATGTAAATCGATCATATTTTATTAGCCGGCGTCTGCCAATTTGGTTTAAATATCAACGCGTGGTTTCTGATTAGTTTTATCGTTGCATCTTATTCTTGAAGTGGTCGTTGTTGATCGTTGTTGGCTGGATTATTTTGTTGCAGTTGCAGTTGCAGTTGCTGATCGTTATGATTTATTTTATATGTAGCTGGCGAGAACTTATGTTGCCGCGGGCTCTTGTCGCTTTGGTTTTAATTTTAGTATTTTGCAGTGTGATGATTTCTTGCCACAAACCCGTGCGTGAAACTTCCACTAAAACTGCTCTTTCCACTCAATATAGTCGGCAACAAGTGCTCTTAATAAAAGTGATTGAGTTGGTATTAAGTGTTGTGGTTTTTAATTGATGAGTGATATTATTTTAACACAATTGTTGACATCTTTAATTAATTTAGTAACTTTAGCGTTGGCAACGATGTTGAAATGACATCCAATATATGTATATAATAAGCTGTTTAAAGTATATTGAAAAGCTAGTTGAGAGAATATAAAACGAGTCAAGAATTGCTTTGGAGAGGTATTTAATAAGAGTTTATAAAAAATGTCAATAGGTAGAATTCATATAGGTATAATTTTGACGCTCAAAGCTATAACTATATATTAATTTTAGTGACCTAATAACTTAGGTCCTGTGCGAGTTAGGCTAAGTTGATGGTTAACCAAATGGGAGATTTTTTAGGATTTTTTGCACTGCACACATTTAGTCATTTATCAACACGTATCGACACATCACTACATTATCGGCACAACTTAGAATTTCCCTCATTTAGAACGCAACTTAGCCTAACTCGCACACGACCTTAGTGTCATATTTGGTTTGTTCCACGAGCTACTGATAGTAAAACTCAAGTAAAACACAAGTAAAGTACAAACTGAGAGCGTAACACAAATAAAATTTGGTGAGAAAACCAGTGCCGTGCAAATGAATAATACAAAAACTAAAACAGCTGATTCACACATCAACACAAATTTTACTTGAAATAAAATGTACGAGTAAAGTCTGTGTAGCATTTTAAAATATCGACAGGGATGTTACGCTCTCTCAGATACTCTCATTTATACAGTGTTAATCAAAGTTACTATGAGTAGCTCGTGGAACAGACCTATTATACAGAATCATGGTAACACCAAATTTAAAATTGTTCTTTTTAGTGTAAAATAAAACAATTAAAAATGATAGTAAAAGAGAAATATCGATTTAAATTTGGTTACGGTGACAAGTTATAAATGTTAGTTATGAATGTACGACTATAAGGATCAAATATGTGCATTTTTGTAAGTATATCAACACAAAAATAAATATCTTTTTGATTTAGGCAAAAAAAAAAACCTACTTAGTTCTTTTAGTCTCGACATTGGGCGTTTTCTTTTGTGAGCATATCACAAAAGAACAACCGCTTATTTTAAAAATCACATATGAAACAACAACACTGCTGGCTTATTTAGTCCAACCTTTTTGAAACCGCTTAACTAATAAGCAGCGTGGTTGCCATGACTAAAACCTCGTCTATTGTGAACGATTTTTGGAAGTACATATGAAATTTCCAGTTCACGGCCAGCTGTTAACTGTGTTTGAAAAATAATAATATACAATTCTTTTTAATTTTCAACTGCCAACTGCAGTTATTTAATACAACATATTGTAATAAATTTATTTTGCTGTTTAAAAATGAGTGAAACGTAAGTAATTGTAGAACTTAAAAATAAAAATATTAAGGAACTCTATTTTTTTAATTATATACATATTTATAGTCATATTGTAACATCACGAAAACGGAGGCCGGAGGCTGTTGGAGGCCGTTGTGAAGTGATTAAATCCATAATTAGTTTAGTTTATTATTTTATTTAGTTTATTTATTTATTTTTTTTATAATTTCAATAAACACAATTTCTTTCTATATTTTGTTGTTTGTACTTTATTTTCAATATTAAGTTTTAAATCTAAATAATATTTTCTCTTGACAAGTAATTAAATAGGTTTTGTCTTAAATGAATTGAGTCATCCAACTCTAAAGTATCAAAAAATTCTGGTTGATCTGCCATTTCTTCCACACTATTGTGTTCGTCATTGTTTTCGCAAAAATCATCCTTACTTATACAAATGTTGTGCAGAACACATACACTGGCTACGATGACGGTGATTGCAGCCAAATTACTTTGTTCTGTAAACTTTGATAGTCTGCGAAAGCGACTTTTTAGTAGACCAAAAGCATTTTCTACTACCTTTCGTGTAGAGGAATGCTTTTCGTTAAATTTTTTTTGGTTTTCATCTAAGTTTCCATAGTATTTGAATGGGGACAGAAGCCAGTTTAAACACGGATAAGCAGTATCTCCAATAATAAATTATGAGTTTGGAAATATTTCACTCTGATTTAACTGTGTACGTCGGTATATATCAGATCTTCTCAAAACTCTAAAGTCGTGCAAGGATCCAGGTTCACCACAACTAATATTCAAAAATTTTTTGTTATTTTTCTGTTAACATAGAATAAGTCTGAAAAAAACAAATTTTATTCACAATCATTTAAAAAATGAAATTTTCTTACCAATAATTGCAAAGAATTATTCATTTTGTTAATTTTCAATTTAAATTTTATTATGTGTTTTGCAAATACAAACAAAATTTCCAGTTTTTCCAGAGTTGTCATCGAAAGTAGTGCTTATTTCATTTGTTCTTTTGTGACATGCTTACAAAAGAAAACGCCTCATAAAGAAAGTGAATTTGCCGTGACCTTTTGTCATATGACTATCTGTATATCATCACTCTTAATGAAAATAACGAGAACACATTTTTGGAATTGATACAATTAAGTAAAATTAATTATTTCAACTTTATCACATAAGGGATTATTTTAAAGTTAAAAGTACTAACACTTGATATTGTCATATCTGATATATTATATAAGTTATTTGATAAATGTTAATAAAAATTTGGTTTGAGAAGTAAATGATTTTTGGTCATAATAGTTATATAATGTTCAAAATACTTTTACACTGGCACTACATGTCCTTGAAAGTGTTTTCATGAAGATGTTACATTGCTTTTGCTTAACAGCTGATTTATAAAATCACATTTGAAACTAAGAAAATGATAATTGCCCAACAAGAGTTTACAAGTAGAAGATATAAAGTAATATGCATAAAAAGAATGCGTTTATTGGTCACATACACCTTATGTTACACCGATATTATCAACAATTAAATTATTAAAATTTTCCTTTATTTCTGTCAAAAATATCAAAAAAAGCTCTTGTAAAAGGTGTGCTTACGAATACGAATAACATTTTGTATGGCTAAGTGTGAACATTTGCTACTTGTTTACTCATTTTTGCTAGAATGAGGCATTTACGGCTATTGTAAACGTATATAACGTCAATATAAGGTGTATATCTTTGACATAAATGCTCCAATAAAACAAGTAAAGAAGTAAAGTATGACATGTAAAAAAAAATTCAAACAAATTTGCAGTTGAATTTTATATAAAAGTTTTTATATATAAAATTACGAGATCGTTATTAAATTCGTTTATATAATTTTCGAACTTCGAACATCACTAGTTACTGCTAAATGAGCAATATTAACGTTGTATTATTTTTCTTGCAAATGATTTATAACTTTTTGCTTCTATTTTAATGATTTTGTTTTGTATTTATTCACATTAATGAACATAGAATTAAATATATATATAAATATATTTATAAAATATTTAAATCTACTCATTAATACCCACGACAGCTATAAATAATAAATAGCTGACTGGAGTTTTCCATTATGTTCCAAAAATTATTCACAATAGATCAATTTAAGATTTGGCACCATTGTAGTGCGACATGCTTATTCGTTAAGCACGTTCGGAAAAGTAAGCTTAATTTGACGCATTTTGTTTTTGCCTTGCATGTTAATTTTTAAGCACCACGTGTTTTATTCGAGCATTCATGTCAAATAAATACATCTATAAACCTATATGCCGTTTATTTATAGCTATAATTTTTTCTTTCAGAGTAGGAAAAGAATAACATTAAGTCTGGTTGAATTGAATTATGAAACATATTTTCAGTAGACATTCACAATAGACTGATTTTTGAATTTGGCCTCATTTAAAGTTTAGTCTTAAATTTTTTTGTGAGTAAAACCTAACTAACCTAACTTTTGTAATATGCGAGTATTTTTTTGCTTCTCTGAAAGAAAAAATTATGGGTTATATATATTTTTGATT